AGCATCCCCTGCCGACCGGTTACACCCGCCGTGTACTCCTTGTCATGATCAGGAAATAACGGAAAAAATCCGTCGTAAATTCAGTGTATAAATAATGGACTAACAATTGGTATGAAAAACGTCAGTCAGCATTTGACTCAGTGATAAATCGTATTTGCTGACAAGGTCATTGTATCGACCATAGAACTTACGAAATGATGACTTTAAACGAGACTGCTGATATTCTTGTTTCATCAACTTGCTTGTCAATAATTTACCTTGTTTTAGAAATTGTTCATACGTAGAACATGCTCTTGCGTATCGAATCAGCTGAGATATATATACTCCGTATGCAGCTGATGAAGGTATATTGCTGAATAAGTAAGGGAAGTTGACGATAGAAAAGTTGAGGTCATCACGTTTATCATATAGCTTGGTTGTTAGATTACCATTAGTGTCTTTTTCAAGTAAAATATCCACAGAAGTGTTGGACTTTGTGGTATCTTTTATCTCAAGCTCACCAAGATATATCGTATCAACGTAGGAATTAAAATTACCATTCTAAACCGAGGCAGGCTTCAGACATATAAGTTGATATAAATATCATTTGATATTTTTTCATACCTTTTGTTAGGCCTTTGTTTTTCCCTTGAATATAACTACGAAACGTTCCGTTTACATGTGGGTGATCAATACGCAGGGATAACGGCGGATGTGGCCGGTCAACATGCTTACTCCTCGAAGGCACCTGATCCCATGTCTCGAATTTTCAGTGGTCCGTGTGTTAAGCCCTCTTTACAGATTTTAATTAATCAGAGATTTCTTAATATTAATCAATGTTCGTTATTGTCCACTTTTTTCACTGAATTTTAATTCTGCACACACTTATTATTATACACTCAGAAGAATGTGTGAGATGAAGGAAGAAGAATGACTTAGAAATGGAAATAAATAAATAAACAACACAACAAATTAGATTTAAAATTCAGTATGTTCATCAATAAAACCGTTTAGAAATATGGGCCAGGATATGTTCACCTTTTGTTGCATAATTAGAAAGAAGTTGTCTTAATTGATTAATGAGAAGTAATTAAATTTGTAAGCAGAGCTTGATAATACAAATAACCAAGTTAGTAATTGGTATCATGTGAATAAATACTTCAAAGCGGTTTAAAGATAGCGTGATTTGATAATTTTTTCAAGGATTCTTACCATACTTTATCGTGAAATAAATTTTAGTGCTTGTACCCCATTTGTTTAGTTGTATGTTTCACACACATGCACTCCACTCATTTGAAATTTAATCATAACTGGAAAGATTCGAGAAACGTTTTTCCATGGAATTATTAATTATAATACTATTATTGATAGTTTATCCTAAAGCAGGTTAGTTTTCCACAATATATACATTTATTCAGAGAAAAATATTGTCATAGCCTATAAATAAATGTTTAATTCACATTCTTGAAAATCACTGCATTTTAAACGCCCAGCAGGTCTTTTATGGAAAGTGTAATAACATTCATGAAATTACATGTTTAAATACACACACCTCTACGTAATATTTTAAAAATCTTTGCGAGAAAAAAGAAAAACATTTCTAAATATTTACCTCAAAGGCACTGCCTAAAATAGAGATCTGCCTTAATTATCAAAAATTATAAATATCAAATGATTCAAATTATCTTGATTTCTATGAAACATTTTTTAAGAGTATATTTGCGGATGCTAAATATCTTTCAATACATAACTACAAAGTTTTGACAAAATTATCTACAAATTGTTTCCTTCTGTTTATAAAAACACGTCTATGTACATGTAAAAGAAATATAATTTGTAGTGTCAGAACGAAAAATTTCCATATTTTAACATATATTGTTTAATAAGGATTTTGAAAAAAAAGTCTTGTTACCTACTCAAACTTAAGATCTAAGATCTAAAAAGTAGTCGAAATTAGATCTGTGATCAGCAACTCTATTAACAGTGTACTTTGTCGTCAGTTTCTTCGTAATATTCCTTAAGTTTCAGCAAATGTCTGTATCAATCGTTATCATTTTTTCCTTATGCTTGTCTTCGACATCAATGTACAGTGTACATTATTGATCTTTTACCTGCAATGTAGCAGTACTGCTTATTCGAAATAATATCGTTTTTTATATTTCTTTAATCGAAATATTCGTAAGACTTTTAACTTTAATTCAATAATTTGTAAATAAATAAACTTGATTGAAATGTGTTTTTTGCATACAAGTAGTCTTTCTAAGGTTACTGAAGGGTTATCCAGTTTAATTGTTTCTTACAATCAATCGGTTTTATGTTTAAGTCTGTTCGATTCCTTACATAAATTCTTTGGGAATGATTACTTTTTTCATTATTTTCATGCTATTTTCAATTTAAACATCCTATTGTTCTCGACTATTATTTCATGCTATCTAGCTTACTGTAATGATCTCAATCATTCTTTTCTAATTTCAAAACTGTTCACAGTTTCATTAATTAACCATCATTTTGAAAATCTAAACAACATTGGGTGCATGCTATACCATTAAGGTGGAGACCGTCAGTCAAAATTTAAAAAAAAAGTTTACATTAGAAAACAAATCTTGTTAACTTTATCATAAAAGTTTTATCTGACTATGCACTCTGACTAAAAATCTTAAATACTGTAGATCACTAAATTTTCGCGACACCTTATTTTTACGAGATACTCTTTATTAGCGAGACATAATTTTCACGAATTGTTGTTTTTCGTCTATTTAATCGTAAGGAATATTTTTAGACGCTAAAATTACATTTTCGCGAGCTCATTGTCTCGCGTAATTCAGCGAAAATAAAGTCGCGAACAAAAAGTGATTAAAAGTATGGAGATTGTTATAGAGTGTTTACACTAGAAAACACGTCTAGTTATTTTCATCATTAATGCTTTCTCTGACTAGGCAATATGTTTAATATTCATTTGATACATGATACCTGTATTATTTGTTGTCTTGACCACTACTTGTTATAAAATGTTTAATATAGTTTATTGAATTATATGCTGTGTAAATTTCTTCATATTTGGATGTTTTTGTAGCTATAGAAGTTAAGGGCTAACCAACAGGTAAATTATCTAGTAAACGAGATTGCCCTTTTCTTATCAAATTTCAACTTTTCATGACGTATGTTTAATCTCGTTCTATTAAAAACCCGGCAGGCAACTGATAAATAAGTACATGTATATGCTAATTTTTTTTTGATATGTCAATAAAATGTTAGCCTCTCGCAAATCTATTAACCATATAATGCACTGTTATTGTCATCTTTAAAATAATGTTTGATTACCTTCTTTCAACAAAGGTTAAAACTATTGGGTCGGTAGGTAGGTGAGAAATTATTTATTCGAGAAATTTTAACATATTTGTTGACGAATGAAAAGGAAAAAATATCGTATCCGGGAATGTAAGAACTGAATGGAATCGGTTGACCTAAATTGTATCTGCTGACAAGGTTATTGTATCGACCATAGAACTTACGAAATAATGACTTTAAACGAGACTGCTGATATTCTTGTTTCATCAACTGTCTATCAATAACCTACATCATTTTAGAAATTGTTCTTACGTAGAGCATGCTCTTGCATATCGAATCAACAGAGAGATATAAATTCCGTATGCAGTGGTGAAGGTACTGTATATTACTGCATAAGTACGGGATGTTGAATGACTATTGAAAATTAAAGTCATTGTGTTTATCAAAAAGCGTGGTTAATAGTTTACCATTAAAGTCGTTTTTTAGTGAAATATACAAATATGAAACAGGTGTGTCAGATTCTGTGGTATCTTTTTTTTTTCAAATTCACCGGGATATACCATGTTGAAAAAAGGCAGTAACCATTATTATTTGACAATGTGTCACTGATATATCTTAATGTCGATCTGAAGGCCGGAAGAAGTGTTTCTTCTTTTCATAATAAGATATTGAACAAATTCTACTTCATATGAATAGAAATATAGGTGTGCTAATAACGTATGTGTTTTATCCTAACATTTTGTCATTCTGTCCCCTAGAACCAAACACAGTGCAGGATTGTAAGTACAACCAACCCATCACACGTGTTTGTAATCATAAATATAAATATAAATAGAACCCTTTATTTTGTGTTAAATATAGATATTCATCATTTGTTGCGTAATTCTATAAAACAGTTTAAAGTCTGGCTATTGTATAATTGTATGCAGGTCAAGGGCGATACTATGAATACAAGGGAAGATGATATCAATAGGAAATACTTAAGAGGCAATTTAAAGATTCCATGACTTGATTGCATTTTCTATATTCTTTCTTATCTTAAGCAGTTGCCTGATTTCAACGATAGAGACCTTGTTTACTTGGGTGGTACGTAGGGGCAGATTTTCAATCTTTGTAGGTTTACTAGATCAAGATTGCAATAAATGTTACCTATAATAAAAAGGTAGTTCTTGGGAAACTATTCATTTTTTTAATTGTCAATCTGATGGGGAAAAAATACATCTATACATGATTATTTCATTTACTCACATATACATCTTTCAAAACATGACCCATATGGGTTGGCATGGTTGGTAACTAAGGGCCAGGAAAACCTAGACTGAAATAAAAATCAGTGAACCATTGCAAAAATCTTCTACAGCATTTAGCCATCACGATAGATCAGTCGGTAGAGCGCTTATTCGGTGATCAGGGGGTCGTGTGTTAATTCGAATTACGGCATGACTGACCTACGCCGATAAAAAATTAGGTAGAAACTGATCCTTTGCCAAGCCCTCGGCACTTTGAAGTGAAATTTGTGGTCATTCGGAGGAGACCTAAAGAAATAAGGCTCTTGCGTTTTCAAGATAAAGAACTCCCACTGCCAAATAGCCCCAAGTGCCGTATATTTAAGGTCTAAATTTGAAACCCTTTGCACGATATATGTTGACGTCTCTGTATGAGGGAAGAATTCTCGAACGGGGTGTAAAACGATATATATAATCAATCAATCATACTGATATAGTCCAAACGTCATGGTACCTCACATGGTAGAACACATGCGCCGTGATCAGAAAAACGTGAGTTCAAACCCCGGATGTTACAGTTAAAACCTAGTTGCTGTTTGGGTCATATGATGTCCTTCAAACCATCACGTATTATTGAAAATTAATTAGTCTACTAAAATGAAATGATTAATGTGAATTTTGAAGACTTTTTTCTCCAGTGAAAGGAATTTTAGGAGGCTGGGGGTCAACAAATTAACCATCAGATATAACTATTTTTTTTTTATGATACATGTATCTTTAGCTGTTCAAAAGGCGATCAATAAAGTCTAAAAATGGCCACAGCCACTCAGCCCTCTTAAATGTTAAATTTATCAGGTTTATGTTGCACAACACAATTACATGTGTTCAGTACTGAAAGGACAGGCATCCTCTTTAAAATAATACAATGTCGATAAATAAGATCATTCTATTTCAGTAAATTGCTGGTGCCGACCCAATGAAAGAGCTGATGTTATTTTTATATTTGAGGAATCGTACAGCACAGGGGAATATCCTAACTCGGCTCCTATGGAATGGAACTACCAAAAGCAATTCTTGTCCAAGCTAGTGAACCAAATGTACATAGACCCAGACAATGGGATAAGAGTGGGCGCCGTGACGTATAATACGGACCCAGATTGGCGCTTTGATCTCAACACTTACACCACTAAGAGCGATATTCGGAATGCTATTGAAGGGATATCAACAGACAGGTGGTCGAACATGTACGAAAACGACACCGACTACTCAGACAAGGCCCTGAATTATGCATACACCAACATGTCCCAGGCCGATAAAGGGGACCGACCAGACGCCCCCAACTATTACATCTACACGTCAGACTCTCTCTTCTCAGCAGACGATCCCTACTCAGAAGTACAAACTATACGAAGCGGTGGGGATAACTACGTCTGGGCTATCGGGGTGAAGGACGCCGCCTCCCAGACAAAACTGTCTCAGTCTGTGGGGGTGGATGGGAGGTACTTCACGGGGTCCAGTTTTTCCGCTATCAATACAGATGAGTTCGCCCAAAAGATGTGGGAGGCCTTCAGTGGGTGTCCAATCACAGATCCAGCCATTGGAAAATACTGTAGGTATCATTTATTTTCTAGGAGTCCAATTTTCAGCGAGTTTTTTTTTTTTTTAATTTTTGACCTTGCAATATTTTTGGTTGAAATTTACTTCTTAACAAAGCAATTTCCAACAAAAATATACGTACTGTCAAGTGTTGCTCAATAATTAATAATTCTTTTGACACAGATTGTTTCCAGGTTCCTCTTTTATATTTTGAAGAACCAAGTTCAGCTTCTGCCCTCACGGAAACCTGTGAACAGGATACAGGTAAAATATCAGCAATTATATACATCATATGAATCTGCTTTTCTTTTGCTGTGCTCTCTCTAGCTCTGTTGAAACCACCAACATAACCCATAGGTATATGAATGTCTTTTATTATGAAGGACTATACCTACTTTTTGATTTAGGAATGATGTTCCTGATGCAGGACCCTTTGTTTGAGATTAATTGCTGTGGCATAATAACCGCCTGGGAGTTTTATCCTTGTGCTGTTGGAATCGTCCAGTTTATGGTTTGGTCCCTGAAATCAGGAACAACATACGAACTCAAGGCCATACAGGAAGTGGAGATTCTGGGTGAGTCAGAAACGAAAAATTAAAGCAATAATTTATTGGCACCATATTTATTATCTTATACATGTAAAGGAAACGCCAATTAATTGAATTATGTAAATTATTCTTTCTTTTAGTCATCGTTGAACAAGAAATGCCTTCTGTGATTTTTGTTATCTCAATTTTAAAATATGTTATGGTTATATGATGAAGGACACTTTATGTTTTTCTCTAGATTCTGATCTCCAGGGAAATGTAAAAGCGTTTAATTACACTGTTCCCGAGGATCAGCGTATTGCTATTGTGGCTGGGGATAGAATTGGGTGGTAACGTATGATATAACATTAATCTATGAGCATAATGAAGGAGTCACTTGGTAGATCTTTTTGGATAAGGAAAAAGTTAGCAATAATAGAGAAATAAATATTTATAGATATACTCGTAGTTCTATAAATAGTTATACATGTACATGTATATCAGTAAAAAATATATTGACATTTATGAATTGTAGGAGAGTCTCTTCAAGAAACATTATATCATACCAACCTTGCACATATTCAACTGACAGATTTTGTCCACAGAACATATACCGTAATCAATACACAGATGACCCGTATGAATACATGTTGTTTGATTGGTCAGACAGTCAAGGAAATGCAAGCTCGTCAACAGTTGAGAAATTGTCAGAGAGAGGATATACAGTGAAACCTGTCTAATCCGACATGCACTGGGAGACAAATTTTGTGTCGGAATAGACAGGGTGTCGGATTGTACAGTGTTAAAACAAGGAAAATACTAAAATGGGAAAGAAATTTAACGTCGGAATTCACAGTATGTCGGATTATTCAGGTGTCGGATTAGACAGTTTTCACTGTACAATCAAAGTGTACGCCAACAACAGTAAGGAGCTATTAGTTTTTGCTATTAATTAATAATCAACTCGCAATAACTATGTCACCCTGAGCAAAGTCAGGAAAGATGTAACATTTTGGTTTGTGCTAACAATAATTTTGTCCGCAGATGGCTTAGAGAATCCTTATGAATTTACCACCAAATAAGTTCTGCAAATTTTTTTCCTATAATTTATTTTTCTCTGAAACTGCCAAACAGTAGATTAGTAACCATACCTATAAATGATTTATAAAATTCTTAAAAATTCTAACAAACAAAAAAGATATTTAGCGGAATCCACTAAATGTTCTACCAAGCCCCTTTCTTTACTCTCACTCAATATTAACAGCAGTGAAGGAGAAACTTAGGAGCACTGTACACCAGTGCATGTATATTCGAGAAGTGGCGTAAATCAGATATTGATACATGTACTTAAAATGTCAACGAAACTTCAAGAAAATTTGAAATCACAAAATTTTACCAATGAAAATGAATAACCTCAAAACATTGGACTTTTCAACACTTTATCTACCACTCCCCACGATTAATTGAAGTCCAGAATTTTTGATATCATCACAAAACATTGCCAAATGACAATAGTAAATTTACTAACCTTGTCAATGTTTATTTGCAAAACTTTTTTGGTTAAAAAAACTCTCTGAGTGTACACACAACTGATACAAGTACTATAAGTTATTATTAAAAAGATTTTTGAGTTTCTGTTTGACAATATTACGCAGGTTTCTTGCTTGTATCAGGGTATTATTTGGATACCAACAATTTCGACCTGTTGACATTGACCTCGGAGTTTTAAAAATTTACTTGTCCATAACTTTTGAACAGTTAGTACTAGGGCTTTCACTTGTATATTTTTTCTGGAGATTAACCCTTTTCCAGGGTATCACTAATTTTGACTTTGGAGTTTGACCTACTTTTGAAAAACTTGAACCTTGGCCATAAATTTTTGAAAGGTTTTTTTTTTTTGGCTTTCATATATATTTCACAAAATTTAAAATTCATTGATACTAGTCCCTTCTTTGGAAAAACAACCATCTTCATGTTTTGACATCGACCTTGCAGTTTAATTTACATTTGAGGAACTTCAACCTCTAGTCATCAATTTAGGGCATAAAAAAATATATTCACTCGAGTCTGTAGACGGTAGAACATGTAGAAAACAATTTAAGATTTCTTGAGAAACAAGACACTGAGGGAACATCAGTGTCTTGTTTTTTATGCCCCCGTAAACGAAGTTTCGGGGTAGATAGTTTTTGCCCTGTCCGTCCGTCTGTCTGTCTGTCTCTGTCTGTCTGACTATACCTTTTGGAGGGGGCTATGGCTGTCATATTTCACAGGTGTATTCCTTATGACAAGACCTTTCTTTGGGTACCACCAAATTTGACCCCTTATCCTTGGAGTTTGACACACTTTTACACCAAGATTCCAAACTTTCACTTTGGCAATAACTTTTGAACTGTTGGTGCTAGGACTTTCAAACTTCAAACTTCACATATTTTTTATGTAATCTTTGTGACAAGACCATCCATTGTCTACCAACAACTTGATCCTTTGACCTTGGAGATCGACCTACTTTTTTAAAACTTTAACCTTGGCCATAACTTTTGAACAGAAAGGGCTAGGGGTTTCATACTTCACATATGTACTCCTTGTGACAAGACCTTGGAGTTTGATCTACTTTTAAAAAACTCTAACCCTGGCAATAACTTTTGAACAGAAAGGGCTAGGGCGTTCGTACTTCCCATTTGTAATCTTTGTGACAAGACCTTTCTTTAGAAAACAAGAACCTTGACCCTTTGACGTCAACCCCGGAATTTTACCTATCTTTAAAACGTTATCCTTGGCCATAACAGTTGACTAGGTGGTGCAAAGGTTTTATATTTCACATTTGTATTTCTTGTGAGAAGGCCTTACTTTGGGTATCATAACGTGCATTTGAGAAAATGTAACCTTTGCTATGTTGCCATATGGGGGGATTAGTGTTTCACAAACACATCTGGTTTGTTGTTTCAGTTCATTCTTAAGTATTTAAATGTACATCATATTAGTAGTATTGATGTGATTTGTGGACATTTGTGACCTTTGATCAGATACACAGGTGTCCTTTGAGGAGTCGATGTACCTGACCTCTGCTGCTGACCACTGGCCGATAGGGACAAGTTTCTCCTCCTATACCATCCTAGGTCAAGATTACAAAGAAAATGTCACTTTGTCTTGGGCACTGAGAAACAAATATATTGACCTTAATGAGTCGTTTAGTGAGTACAGCTGTGGGTAATATTCAGATTTCAGAGCAAAATGTAACCAAAGGGAAATAAAGAGAAATTATATAATCGTCATTATTCAGTTCATCCTCAAGAAACAATAAACATGATGTTTTTAAACATAAATGTGCAATTCGAAAGAATAAGTTATGATATTTATAAATTACTTTAAAGTTTCTGTAACGTGTATTTCTTTTATTTAAAATCATATCTATTTTTAATATCCACGCCTGCTATAAATCAAGTAAAGAAAGGGTTGTTGATTTTAGGTTTTACCCAAGTAGCGCGGCAGCTGGAGCCCTCAGAGAGCTCCCAGGGTTTGGCGGGATATATGGCGAAGTTAAAGGTGGTGGACACCTGCCGTCATACAGCCACCGCTACCTTCAGTGTCGAAACCTTTAACGGGGTCAGTATACCTTTAAAGGGAGTCAATTTTAGCAATTTCTTTAGAACTTCTATCAACAAAGCATTCTGAGATTACTGCACTACCTACGTATTAGCAAGTTCAATTTTTCACTCGTATGGAGAGGTCACTTCTTGTCAGTGGCGGGCTAAAAAATTAGATCTACATTCAACACTCGGGGCCATTGAGAAGTAAGGGATCTTTTATGTGCCAGCACCAACTGCGACACTAAACCTACGTTAATTATACCTGTCTTATCCAAAGAATCTGGCTCTACGACCCGCAATGGGATTCGAACCCGCGAGGTGAAGATCAACTCCTTATTCTGGAACACTAGAACAGACGCTCTAACCATTGCCCCGCGCAGGCGACTTGAAATTTATTTAAAATACTGATGTTTTTATTTTTTTCAGCCACCAATCATTACCAATTTTCCGAAAGAAATGTCCTTGCCGGAAACACAGGGCGGAAGTGAGTTGGTTTACAAGGTGGCAGTGTATGACCCCACAGTGCCCCCTGATGCCGTCTGCTGTACATTAGAGAGTGTTCGACCTCAGACACTAAACTTTGAAATAAAACTCATCAATGGGACAGAATTCGTCATTTTTACATATGAAAAGCCAGTATTTGCTTACCGTGACGTTAATTCTTACATGTTGTCTGTGTGTTGTGAGGACGGATTTGGAACCGTCAAGGGCATCTTAAAAATTGACATCACGGAGGTTAAAGAAAAAGAGGTTTACATTCCTCCTAGTGAGTAAAATTTGCTCTGTTATCTAATACACTATATATATCGTTACAAAGTTAAAAATATCTCGGAATTGGTCTGCATATTTCAGATAAACACTCATTCAGATGAAAACTGACACCCTGGCGTATTGACGTGTATTGACCAATACAAGCACCGGGGCAGATCAATATAAATGTTATTTAAAGATCCGTTATTTGATTATTAGCTGCAAGATATACACTGTACATGAATTGGTAGTATTTCTGTAAAAAAAAATTAATTTACTTTTAACTGTTCTGTAGTTTCTAACTTACCTTTGTTTGTGATTTTTAGCTTGGTTCTACAGTGTATACCTTATTTCTGTTTTACAGCCTGGTTCTATACCTCCCTGATCGCCAGTCTTTTGCCTATCTCCACCATGTTCATGATCAGCTGTTTTCTGATGAACTACACCATGTTTTTTGTCGACTGAAAATAAAGAACTGAATCTTTTTAGTGCCCGTTTATGTTATTATTTTCTAAACTTTATACACTTATTTAATAAAAGTCTCAGTATTACAAGTTTTTATCAGTTAAGTAAATTTTATAAAAATTTAAAAAAAAATTATAATATACCCAAATTTCAAAAGTACTTATTCCAAAAATATACATCTGTAAAACTGCATGCACATACCAAAAACAAGAAAAAAATGGTCGTTTCAATGTACATGTACTTGCTATAGTATAATTTTTCCTGCTCGTGGGTCCTCGCTCTCTGAAAAATAAAGATTGTTCGGTTTACAGATTGAGAAACATAAACCTAGAGTTCAGTATTCATAGGCATCGCAACTGTATTAAAAGTCTTCCCTTTACATATTTAGCCCAACGTTCGGCATAGGCCTAACCTTCGAAAGAATTCCTAGCAGAAATGAAGTTCTGTCGCCAACTGAAAGATCTGGGATCCAAACTTTTCAGTTATAAACAAACCCGATTGTGACTAGATGTTTTACATCTATAGAATTAAGAAATCATAGTCAGTATTCTTGCTCTTTTTCTTTCAACTACAGTCTCGCTGAACATGTCATTACTGGTGATGTCAATATACATGTAATTGAAATGTCGGCCTTAATAAAGCAATTATTGTTAAAGGTCCAAAATACAGAAAGTTCGGTCTTTCTATTAGTGATAGAACTTCATTTTCATTATACGTAAATCCTCAAAGATTATGCAAATCATTGGAATAAGTATGAGAAGGAAGACCTGCACTTTTTGTCAGAATGGTTTACTAGTAAGTGTTCGAGAAACTTGAGAAATAACGGAAAAATCCGTCGTCAATTGAGTGTATAAATAATGGACTACCAATCAGTATGAAAAACATCAGTCAGCATTTGACTCAATGATGAATTAATTGTATTTGCTGACAAAGTCATTGTATCGACCATAGAACGTAAGAAATTATGACTTTAAGATAATTCCATCCTCCTATGATGTCATAGGTTTTTGCAGGAACTATTATTAATTTAACTTTATGCCAAGTAGAACAATAAAATTTATAAGAATGCTTTTCAATAAGTGTAATGATAAATATTGTTTTTTTTTAAAAACTCTTATTCAATCTTTAAAAAATGTAACTCCTTCGCAGCGATCTTCATTCAGGCATTTTCATTATTATACTTTTTATGTAAAAAAAAAAGTTTCCCTAGTATTCACAATTCAAATGTATCTTAGAATTAGCAGGTATTTCTGAACTTTTAGCATCAGAATTATGCATTTGAACCAGTTTTTACATAATTTTTGTCGTAATGTTTACAAAAAATATACAGTTTTTTTATGTTCTGTTTATTTATGTCTGCTATCCTAAATAATATGGCGACCTATACATTTTTTGCAACAATTAGTAAATTTAAACTATATTTTTTATACTTTGTTCCATTAAATTTGTGAGGGTGGAAAGACCTTAAACGAGACTGATAATACGCTTGTTTCATCAACTTGTTTGTCAGTAATTTACCTCGTTTTAGAAATTGTTCGTACGTAGAGCATGCTCTTGCATATCGAATCAACTGAGATATATAAATCCGTATGCAGGTGATGAAGGTACTAAGTATATTGCTGCATAAGTAGGGGAAGTTGACGATAGAAAAGTTAAAGTCATCACGTTAATCATTGAGCTTGATTGTTAGATTATCATTAACGTTTTTTTCAAGTAAAATATCCAAATTTGAAACAAATGTGTTAGACTCTGCGGTATCTTTTATCTCGAGCTCACCGGGATATATCGTATCGACAATAAAAGAATGGAAATTACCATTGTTGATTGACAGTACGTCGTAGATATATCTAAATGTCAAGTTGAAGGCCAAAACAAGTGCTTTCTTCTTTTCACGCATGAGATTTTGCACATAATCTGCTTCATATGAATACAAAAATAGGTCTGCTAATAACGGGGTGCAATTGGTACCTATGGGAATTCCAGTAGATTGTTGGAAAACCTGGTCTCCAAAAACAGCATAGATATTGTCAATCAGAAACTCAAGCATCTTTTTGATGTCAACTTCAGAGTACTTGTGTGTACAATCAGAACGTTTTAACAAAATAATTTTGCAAATGACCGATGAAAAGGTAAGTAAATTTACGAGCTCAATTTTTATCGAAAAAGCAGGTGTCATTGATATCAAACAGCCTGGACTTTAATTTGTCGTGGGGACTGGTTGTGTATAAAGTTGAAAAGTTTTTAAGCTGTTGATTTTGGTAAAATCTTGTGATTTCAAATTGTCCAAAAGGTCCTTGGAATTTTTAAGTATCCACATCTGATTTTCACCACTTATTCAGTATATTGAAACACAGTACTCTTGAAGTTTCTCCTTCACTACTGTTAATACTTTAGTGAGGAGTGAAGAAAGATGCTTGATTGAACATTACCACTTGTAGAATTAAATCCAAGTTCTTCTTATTTATAATTTATACGTATAATGAGCCTTACAAACGAAGACAATTTTGTTACCTGCTTTGTCAGCAGGGACCAGTCCCCATTGATCAAGAAATCTATCTAATTCCTTTATCACTTCTGGATTTTTGAATACAGAAGGATACTACATGCTTTTCCTATTGCCCCTCAATCTTTTAAAACGCAATTTTAACATGGATCTGATACATTTAATCCATTCTGACAAAGTGTCAAAGCCCTTTTTCATATCTGGTCCATCGCTTGGCGTAATCTTCAAAAGAACCCAAAATATTTACGAAATTCCGACGCCAGTTGAAGGATCGGGGTTCCCTATATTTAGGACCTTTTAAAATAAATGCTTAAAGGTCCTCATATTATTAACGACATAAAGTCACCTGTAATAATGTGTCCAGCAGGACTATAGTTATAGGGTGAAGAAGAACAAGAACATGATGAATTATTATGTTTCAGATACTCGACATCCAGGCTATGTCAAGTTTGTTTTGTAATTAAAAAGGTCGATGTATATTTGTAAGATATATACAAAGTGTAGTCTTTAACTGTAGTTAAAGATTCGTATCAGAAAAATTAATTAAAAGGCAAAATGCATTCCGTTTTCACTAAACCTAAAGTGATGAGAGAGTAAGAGAGATTACATGAACAGTTCCAGCGGACATGGCCTTTTAATAATATCGTTTAGAAGAATTTGATTTTAATATTATAGCATCCGGAAATCCAACGTTTTCTCACATATCACTTTCCAAGGATGAATTTCTTCAAAATTACATTTCAGCGTTTAATACTTTTAACATACCAGTCAACCAATGTGAGTTTAATTAATCTACCCCATCTGTACTGGATTCCTGAACTTCATAAAAACTTCATGAAAATTATATGTTTCACAAACAGATACAAGTACTTTACGGCAAAGTCTTTACCGAGTCCAGCAAATGCCCTACCAAGCCCCTTTCTTTACTCCTTACAAAAATATTAACTACTATAAAAGAAAAACTTCAAACGGAATGTGCTAGAGCATATTCTAGTGGGAATCAGATGTGGATCCACAGAAACAAAGAAATTTATTTTAATTTATGGAACCTAAAAATTCTTAATTCTCTCAAAAATCTATAACATCAAAACTAAAGATTTTTACGAGGGGTGATCAAAAAATTCGCGAACTATCTCTATATCTACAAAACCACAATTCGGATTAGAAAAAAAATCGGCACAGGCATAGCCATACACAAGTTCTATATAAATAGCATATGCTGAATAAAGTTTTGCTCCTTGTTTGTGACGTCACAATGTGAAAATGACGTCACTATGCAGGTCACTTGTGACGAAAAATGGTTGTCTCAGTCGAGCTCGTTCAACAAACGACTGTAAAATTTATATATCTTAGAAATCCCTTTGAAGTAGCGTATAATAATTTGTACACAGTTTATTGAGACATACACTGTATGACTTCCTATAAATTCAATCAATGATTGGATTGATCGTTTAAGTGAAGGAAGGCAGATGGTTAAAAATGATACTTGTTATGTTGCCCAGTGAGAGCAAGTTTGAAAAGAGATGTATTTTTATTTAAGCAATTTGCTATCAAAGACCACCAATTTACACTCTGAAAAATATATGAATGTTTCAACAATAATATAATTACCAAATACCTAAAATATCATTAATTTTACTTTAGATTTTAAACATATTACATGTGATAAAAAGGAGGCACCCATTCTCTATACACCTTGGACAAACGTCTCTCCCGAGACAGAATATTTTTGGAAAGGATAAAAATTCTTATCCACCCATTCTGTTGCCGAGATTTGATCATTTCTGACAAATGAACTGTTCTTGTTATAAATATTAACTTACATGGAAAGAAATATAAAACTCAGAAAAATCTTTCAGTTTTTGTGACAGAACGCTACGGAGGTGGTCACGTGACCGCCTATATCACGTGATTTGCGCATGAGCAGAATGGTGACAGATGTACATTAAAATTGGAGAGGACTAATTAAGGAATCATGCACTGTCTAGTTCGTATAGTATGCTAGGGCATCAACGATAGTGGGAAACATGGGATGATTTAAGCAAAACGGGCTTCGCCCGTTATGCTTTTATCCCATGTTTCCCACTATCGTTGATGTCCCTGGCATACTATACGAACTAGACAGTGATTTCTTATATTTCCGTTTCACTGTGAAATAAAATTGTAGATTTATATTTTTAAAATGTTGACATAGATTTAAATTACATGAAGACTCCCTTGCCAATTTCCATACCCCTCTCCCACTGACGTCTTGAACACAATTGCAGCCGCACGAGATTTTCATGCATATTTGGCATCCTTGGCGTCAGACACAGAGACAGATGCAGATGCATATTAGGCCTCCCCAGCTCCTGACCTTTCGACCTGCCTAATTTACATTCCGACAGGTTTATCAAGAAATTAACTCCGCTAAGTTTTAAAGAGTTATCACAGAGACAAAAATAAGAAATGGAAATATTTTAAAGTATATTCAACACTGAAACCAAATATTGTTTCTTTTATGGAAGTTATTCAATTAGTTCGCGAACTTTTTGATCACCCCTCGTACACTACACCTCCAAAGTTAAATTCAAATCTAGACATTTTGATATCATAGACAACTGCTACTTCAATTTCAAGTTTTCCAACGAACTGTTAGAAATGCGATGAGCACGATTTGTACTCCTTTATAAGCAGACCCCTTATACATGTATATTCATATGAAGCAGATTTAGAATTTACTGAGTATATTCAAAAACTTCTATATGAGAAGAGGAATATACTTTCTGTGGCCTTCAATTCGACCATCGATGTTTTATCAATTAAAAATAATTATTTTCAAAATTATAATTTTGTTTAAAACATTTTGATTGTACACACAAACACTATGAAGTTGATATCAAAAATATATAGAACCATATTTAACTAGAAATTTGTCTATTATCCAAAAACAAAATAGTGTAATTATAGTTCAAGTAATGTATATATATATAGGGTTTGTATAAGAACATCCAGAGTTTAATACCTTTCTTTCTCTCCGTCTCCTTTCTTCTGTCTTTTGAGTGAATGTTTATCTGTATGTATGGGTGAGTGACTGTGATTAAGTTATAACACCCCATACCCCCTAGTCACTGGCAGGTTGGGTTGTAGGGGTAATGTAAAATTCTGGCTTTATATATTTGAATAAATGTGTGGGGAAAAAAATATGCTTGAGTTTCTAATTCACAATATCTACATGACTTTTTGTGTACACGTATGTGATTTCTGGAGACAAATCGGGATCTTTCTACAATTCATTGGAAATCGCATGGGTACCGATTTTGCCCCGTTATCAGCAAACCTTTTTTGTATTCATATGAAGCCGATTTTTTTTTTGCGTAAAAAGAAGAAAATACTTGCCTGGTCTTCAACTCGACATTTAGATATATCGACGATGTTTTGTCAATTTTAACACAATGGTTATTTCCATTCTTATGTCGATACGATATATCCCGGTGAGCTTGAAATAAAATATACCATCGAGTAGGGATGTGCGATTTTATCGGTATACCGGTATATCGCGATTTTTTAATGCGTTATACGTATCGTGATACGGAGACCTAAATACCGGTATTTAGGTACATATTATAAAGTCCAGAAATTATTTATTAATTTGTTCAATCTTTCAAATTACAATTATAGAAAGTCTAAAAAAAAATGTTGTGAAAAGAACAGCATCTTACCAACCAAACATGATTAATTTCATGCATATAAAAAATTCCAAAAAAAGAAGTGAAATTCTGTTTTTCTAGCGTATTTTTACGAAAAATAATGACTATTCATTTAAAATCATTGTAAAAATAGCTTGTAAAAATATCATGTTATTATCGTGATATTTTGAGAAAAAATCGTGATATATCGCGAAACGAAATTTCTGGCGATACCCATCCCTACCATCGAGTCTGTCTACTTAATATTTGGATATTTTACAAGAAACGTTAAAGGTAATCTAACAACCAAACTTTATGATTATATACGTTATAATTTTAAATTTTGAATCGCCAACTTCCCTAAACTAATGCAACAATACATGTGTGTAACTGCATCACCGGCATAAGGGGTTTATATCTATCAGCTGATTCGATACGCAAGAGCAAGAACTTGCTCTACATGTACGTATGTATAATTTCTAAAACTATGTAAATTATTGACAAACGAGTTGATGAAACAAGAATATCAACCGTCTCGTTTAAAGTTTTCATTTCGTAAGTTAACTATGGTCGATACAAATCAATGACCTTGTCAGTAATTGCTGACTGGAGTTTTTTAAGGTCTTCCGTCTTCACGGAAGACCTTATAGCGATTCTATTGTTTCTTATTATTATTATTTTTCTGACCATCTAATTTTGTGCACGCGATTTCTCGAAGACTACTGGATGGATTTTCATGAAATTTGCTGAAACAATGTATTGTTATCTGAAGTTATTTCATCCGAGAGATTTTTTGGAAATTTTTCTCTGGTGCCAAGTTACGGACAATTTTCTGATTTTAAAATGCAATTTTGTCTTCAGTTAATCTCAAGAACGGTAAAAGATATCAATGTGAAACTTTCAGGGATTATAGATCGTGATAGATACTATCCAGGACGCGACCTTTTGTTAGTCGTCAATACTTCCTGTCGTTAGGAGATGCGAATTGAAAAAAGCTTATTTTCTAACTTTTTTGTTTTCCATTATTTATTATTGATTTTTGGAATATTAATAGAGACCCTTCTATATAAGCTTACTATATAAGTTGCTTGAATATTGGTTAATCTGAACGCTAGATATTAATATTTGAAAATCTGAAGCGGGCCCAAGATGGCGGCTGTCTCTGTTGACTCCGCCATTTCGCGAGTAGGGGGTTGTGGAGGCAGCTGAGCGTTTGATTAAACCATTCTGACATAAGGATACATGAAATAGAAAAAACTACTTGGACTTTCACGTAGTAGTACGTTGTAATTACGTGTCAATCTTTAAACTTTATTTCCATTTCACTGCTTTAGTGTAACTGGGCTAGATACGATATGTAATGTGTACAATGTGTTAAATATACCTTTTAACGTTGAAATAAAATAAAGTAGTAGTATTTATTTGGTATCATGTCATGTCATAAAGGCGATAAGAACGTTTCATTTATTTAATTTCATTGAAGCTATCACACCTATTTGATAGATCAGTCCAAAGAAAAGGCGTGAATATTTACTCGTGACGTTTGGCGCGAAATTATGAACAGTGGCCCGCCTTTTATAATTCTTAGACAGGTGTACTGTTGCAAATGTATACACAAGTATATCTAGAGCAGTGCTCCCAATAGCTTAATGGTTTGCGCTTTAATAGATCACGTAGTAATTACGTTACAATTCTGTGTCATGATTTATTCCAGTGTCTTCTCAAACGTCCTCTGTAACTGGTTTTGGTTGGTTCTCAAAGTAGAAAAAGAAAAGACTAAATGTGCAAATGAGAGATACCTATTATCATTTGTTTTGCAAGACGGAAAAACATATCTTAAATCATAGTTATAAGTTACAGTTTTTCAAGAAACAATATCGATGCATATACATAGTAAGTAAAAAGCGTAGAACCACTGATTTTCCCATGCACACTTGTGTGATATTAAACGATTAGAAAAAAAACAAAAATAAGAAAACCATTTTAATAAGACCGTCTAATGGAGTTTATATTTACATTCTTTTCTCAAAGATCTGAATCAAGTTATTGAACATAAATGGTATCTGATTCCTTGACTGTCGTAGAGCAAGGCATGTTTTTCGGCGAAACATTTCAACCTTTTTATGAAAGTGTAACTAATCGGCATAGTTCACTCCTGAGACGGGAAATAAAAAACAATTAAATTACAGTCATTTCAGTGCTTTTGTGTTACTTTTCTATAGAATGTGTACAATGTGTTAAATATATTTTCTAAACCTCGAAATGTAGGCTATGAGAACGTACTTTTTTCTTAATTTCATTGAAGCTATCACACCTATTTAATAGATCAGTCCAAAGAAAAGGCGCGAAGATTTAACGTGGTGCTTGGCGCGAAATAATGAATAATGGCCCGTCTTTTATAATTCTTAGACAGGTGTACTGTAGAAAAGTATACACAAGTACATTTAGAGCAGAACTCCCAATAGTGTAATGGTTAGCGCGTTGGGGATAAAAATTAAGGAAAAAAGCGGATTGGATTTTCACGCTGGCAACCTGGATTCAATTTGTGACCAAAATTTTTAATCACTTCTCAGCTCGACTTTACGAGTTATTTTTTTTTTTCAGAATCGGACGGAAGACCTCTCGTTGCTCGCAACGAGATCGTTTCTAGTTTATAATAATTATTACAGGCGCGTAGCATCGTTTTTGAAAGTGGGGGGGGGGGGAGCATCCAGAGAATTTTTTTTACTTACCTGAAAAAGGAAAAAGTTGCCCAAACCCGAAAATCCTATTTCGTGGGGGGGGGGGGGGGGACTTTTTCTCAGTGTCAACTACTTTCAGTATCAATTCTAATACTACATTTTCGGTACATCACTAAAAGTGGTCGGGCATTCAATTAACATTTCCTATAGTATAAGTAAGGTTGGGAAAAAAAGTGCCCCCCCCCCTGTTGCTACGCCCCTGTATTATGCCATTATTTACACGCTGAATTGTCGACGGATTTTTCCGTTACATCCCGATCATGACAAGAATCACACGGAGGTTGTGACCGGGGATCCTGCTCAAACCTCTATGGCACCTTATCCCATATCTGATGGATTGGAGGTCCGTGGTTTGCTCTGATCCTATTTTGTATCGTTTATTGGGCTTTTGAGGTTGAAAAATGTTCGTTATCTCCATACATTTCACAGTGTGACCTATATATATAATATAACAAATATTTTGGCTCAGAACTTATTCATGTTATTTATGTACATGAATTCACGATCATGATTATACATTTATTAAAACTATCTGATTTATCCCCCCACACCCCCTAGCCTGTTTATATATTTTTACATTGACCTAAAGTATATATATAATCTTTCTCAACAATCTACAAACCTTTCTGTCCTAGCTGTTTTATATCATGTACCAGGCCCATCGGACCGTTTCATTTTTGATCGGGTTCGATATTCCAATGTACTCGACATGTAAACACGACGTGGGGATCAATGCGGTGCGGATGAGGGAATAAGAATCTCTATTAACATGGAAAGTACAGGACCAGAGAGACCTGTTAGAATCGACGAAGTCAATGACTTCTTCACTTACATTGCCACGGTAAGAACAGTAACGTTAGATGCATATCGTCAGAAATGATGTTGGAACATTCGCGAATGTTGTACACACTGTAAACTGCGTATATATATAAATATTTATTAATCGGTGGGACAAATCCGATCCACCAGTTAGAGATAAAACAAATATGCACATTCAATATTTGATTATGCCTATGTTCAAAAGTTTGTTGTGCAACATGTAATGATCAAAAACGACCGCTGGTCAACTGAACAGGTACTGGGCACGAGCACTGGAAGTTTCATGTAAATATTGAGTATGTGCATGTGCAAGTTTTTTTTGTACATACATATACTCAATATTTACACTTCAAGTGCCTGTGGTACTGGGTCCTGGTTTGACCGTGAAGTGTCAAGGAATATTACCAACACTATTGATATAATTATCATATTATGTATAAAAGCAAATTCAGCATGTAGGTATACATATCTAGAAATCAAGACAAGTACCTGTGATCAGCTGCTCCTAACAGAATAAGTGAGCATAATCTGGACAAAATCTAATGGCATAATTGCATCTAGGAAAAGCATGCTAAGCCAACATACCTGAGGTCCTCCCAAAGAAAAATAAGATGTTGTTGAAGGGGAGCCTTGTTCATAGTTTATTCAGATCAACTTTCATTTAGTAGTGTAAGGAACTTTCTTAAAAAAACTCACAATGACGTTTTATCTGAGTAGATTGACTGGACAGAGAAGTGGCTGATAGCACTCCTCATGTTCCATATCACCTGTTTCTTCCTGATCCTTGTGACTCGTAGAAGTGGAGCAATCCAGGCTGTTATATTTGTTATTTTACGTAAGTACAGATACATATTCTGCATTAATAAATCTGGTAAAGGAGAAAGCCACATTCCAAACCCTTACAAAGTTATCAAACTTTAGGATGCATATTCCTGTTGACTTAAATTTGCTAACATTTGAACTCCTGTGATTTATGCTACCTATCTGGAGTATTAATATTAATTGGTATTTCTTTGCAATCACTAGTGAATTCAGAGTGTTCCATTTTTTAACCTCTATTGCAGTTTTGTCTGTGTATTTTGCTGAGAATTTAAATGAGCTGGCAGCTAAAAATTGGAAGTAAGCATTTTTCCATTTGTGTAAATTGATTACAAACAGAATCTGTGATTAAAACATTGCTTTTACTGTAGTGTTTTCCAATGCGTAAAAGTACAGTGATTAGTTTTAGTTATTACTTCAGTATGAAAACTTAAATGTAGTGCAACAGCACCACCCAATCACGTTGTGAAATGTTTTCATGATAAGTTCAAAAAAATCATCATGGTAATTATTCAATCTTTAATTAATGTTGTGTTATTTTTCTTTTTTTTAGACTTTTTACGAAGGAGCAGTACTTTGACAGCAATGGGTTGTTCTTCTCTACTGTCTATTCCACACCTGTCCTGTTCAACTGTCTGTTTTTACTGGTAAGTATTTGACTAGCGTTACTATCTTACACTAAGATCAATTCAGTGCAGAGAGAACTGAAGACTCCGAAATATTTATTGTCCGCCATTGAGAGAGCTTTCAGAAAGACCGTGAAAAGTGGTGGCTTGGATTAAAACTTAACTGCTAGCCAAAATAAAACACACCTTACTGCCTACTCACATGCAGATCTTCATTTCGGATATTTATCATTTGTCGCTAACAGTATTGGAATACTGTGCATAATTAATCATCAAGTCAACATCTTTTTTTAAAATTCATTAATGCTTAAGATAAATTTGTATTTAATCCTGCTTGGGGTTATGTGCTTTTTAAATTCACATCCATTCTAAGTAACATCAATGTCCGAAATCTTTGTAATTTTCTACTGATTATCAATTTTTTTCTAATTTGTTTGTTTTTTTTTTTAGTTTATCTGGATGTCAAACCTTGGAGCAGCTGTGTCTCAGATGAGAAGGGTGAAAATGGATGCAAAAAGAAAAGCAGAGGAAAAGAAAAAAGAAAAGAAAGAAAACTAACTCCAACCTTATTTAGGATTTTATCTCAATATTAATTATTTATAATTTGTTCTTTACAATGTTCATTTGTATAAAGATGAATATGAAAATTATATGTTCATCAGTTAAGATGCAGATGTAAATTATATAGCATTATTACATATGGATGTATATCCTCACTTGTACATTTGCAATAAAATTGTGGAAAAAGATTCAAGTATCGAAAAACTTTGGCAAAGAAATAGATGTATGCTATTTTTAGATTAGGACATTAAACAATACTCTTTGATTGGTGTACAGTATCACACTAGGCATATCAATTTTATCGTGTATTGAAATTCTACATGAAATCTCGGGGATTTTTGCTGCTGTTGTGCAGTTTGTGTTGAAGTGCAATAAAATTCATCTCAATACTACAGTGAATTTCTTGAGTATCTTGAATAAAATGTTAGCTGTTTAAAATTGTAAAAAGGTAACATTTTGCATTAAAGCATCCTGATCAGTGTTGTAGTTTTTATGTCCCCATAATTGAAGATTCAGGAGAATATGTGGTGTTTGGACTGTCTGTTTTCTCTACAAAAACTTTGGCCTTGCATATAACTTGTGAATGGATGGTACTAGGCCTAGGGATGTCATTTTCATGTGAATTTTTTGTGACAAGACCTTTGTTTAGGTAAAAAAAAGATTTATCCTTGTCCTTCAAGATTAATTTACTTTTTCAAAATTTTACCAATTTTAAGCTTGGCTATAATTCTTGAAGGACTGGTTCTGTGACTTTTTCTATTTCAAAGTAATACAAGGCTTTTTAGAGTTCCAACTTTTTTTTTTTACCTCTTGACCTTGATCTAGAGTATGACCTACTTTTGTAAAACTTCTACCTTGTTCATAACTTTTGAACAATTGACTTTTTGATTATTTATATATTCCCTTTGACAAGACAATTTGTTTTTGTACCATAATTTTTTTTTTACCAAATGACCTTGAACTATGACCTACATTTGAAAAGCTTTAACCTTGGTCATATTTTCTGAATGATTGGTGCTAGGGCTTTCATATTTCACACATATATTCCTTGTGACCAGACCTTTCTTGACCACAAGCTGTCATACTGGGGCATAACCATTTTTTTGTGCCTAATTTAGTAAAGGTTGATAATCCTAAATGAATGTACAAGACTATAGAAAATCCTTTAATGAATAGAAATTTTATTGCTATTCAAATTATACATAATAAATAAATAAGAAGTGTCTAAAAGTTAACAGATATTATACTTGTATATCACAGAACTTGAGGCTGTTTAAAGTGTTAATGAATATCAACATTGTCTGTGTGGAGGGTCCATGGCTATGTGTCTCGGTAATAATCGTTGAAGTTGAGTCGCAGCAGGAAGTCCTGGAGATGTGACTGGTAGCCACGCTTCACAAGTTTACTGATCACTATAAAATAAAACAGATTTTGTTCAAATTTGGCTTTTTGCAGATCCTTATGATGAAAACATGGTTTTAAAGAAAGCCAAACAGCATCTGTTTACCGCATTGATTAAAATGATGGCTCACCAACGGACAATACATGTATCAAAATTAAGATTATTTAAGATCATTCTAATACAGGAATAGAAATTTAAAGCCAGAACATAACTTTAACATCTAATGAAAGAAAAAGTGAGCAAGCTCATATACCCCACGCTCCCCCAAAACTCAAAGTGCTGAAAATCCCGAAAATAAGAAAGGAATCGGAATTTCCCAGTTATATTAACATCTGCACAGTTTTCTAAATATCTGTAAAGTTTGACAAAAATCCGTGCAGCGGTGTAAGAGGAGTTGCACTGACAAACTGTTCATCTCTATATTCAAGGTATGGCCAAAAATCTAAGTTGAAAAGTGTGGAAATTCACGGAAAAAATAAAAGGAATCGGAATCTCCTGGTAATATGCACATCTATACATTGTGTCCTAAATATCTGCAAAGTTTGACGAAATTCTGTGCAGCGGTGTAAGAGGAGTTGCACTGACAAACTGTTCATCTCTATATTCAAGGTATGGCCAAAAATCTAAGTTGAAAAGTGCAGAAATCCCAGAAAAATAAAAATCGGAATTTCCTTGTAATACCCTGGTATGCACATCTACACATTGTGTAAAATGCAAACCCCCTAAGTTGAAAAGTCGGAATTTCCTTGTAATACCCTGGTATGCACATCTACACATTGTGTCCTAAATATCTGCAAACCTTGATGAAATTCTGTGCAGCAGTTTATGAAGAGTTTCACTGACAAACTGTTCATCTCTATATTCAAGGTATGGCCAAAAATCTAATTTAAAAAGTGCGGAAATTCCCGGAAAAATAAAAAAATCGGAATTTCCTTGTAATATGCACATCTAAACATTGTGTCCTAAATATCTGCAAACTTTGATGAAATTCTGTGCAGCAGTTTATGAGGAGTTGCGCTGACAAACTGTTCATCTCTATATTCAAGATAAGGCCAAAAATCTAAGTTAAAAAGTGCGGAAATTCCCGGAAAAAATTGAGGAATTGGAAATTCCTGGTAATATGCACATCTACACATTGTGTCCTACATATCTACAAAGTTTGATGAAATCCTGTGCAGCGGTTTAAGAGGAGTTGCGCTGACAAAAAAACAGGACTGACAGACTGACTGACACTCTGACGGACAGGTCAAAATCATTATACCTCACGCAACTTGTTGCGTGGGGTATAATATCCTACTGCAATTGATTTCAGTGACATAATAACTTGTATCAGGGTCATATCATAACAAACTATAAATCTGAGCAAAATATACTGTTGGTTTGAATGCTTTCCAATTTAAGATTTTATAGCCCGGACATGATTTGTAAAAGAATGTCAAAGATAGGCAACATGCAGGCAAAAACCGCAAAAATATGACACCATAACAAGAGGCCACAATGCTCATTTGAGTAACTTTGGCCCTGCTGCTCTTCCTCCGACAACCCCCCCTCCATCCTTTGTAATAGTGCTGTGGCCCAAGCCATACACCAGGGGGTAATGATTTGAACAATGCAGATTGATAAATGCTTTACAGCTTCATATAGCTAAGACATACTTTAGATTATTAAGGACTAAAACTGACCTTTGAAGAGAAAAATGGAATACTGCCTGAAATTTTGGAAACACTTGAGCATGAGGTTGAAGTTGGCATGAGATACCTCCCCCGTGGTTTTATCCCTCCTCCAGTCTGCAGCCACTAACAGAGTACGGAACTGAAGGATTAGGCTAAACATGTCACGCATTATCTTCATTATTTTGGCTGCTTTTGTGTTCAACAAACACCTGTAATAAAAGATAAGGAAGTTTACTCTCATGTTTAAATGAAGCAATAGTCGGTTAAATTTAAAAAAAAAAAAAATGGGTCTTGAAATGCTTTTAAAAACTTCAAAATAAAACAATAAAATCACTGCATGTGCCCTGATAAAACTATCAAACAAATGTCTTAAAACATGCATCTTGACTGCGAGACATGATCAAACCTGAATATGGCACGGTCAAGGTAGTCGTCATGAACTCGGATCAGGTCATCCAGGTTTTGTACGTCCGACTTCAGGGAAGCTTTAAATTCGTTCCAGGTGACAAAAATAACTTGATGTGAAATGTATCCCTGCATTACTCTCACAAAATGCTGCATTTCTTGTCTAAAGAAGCATGGGAAGAGCAAAAGATTTTTCGTGTTTTCAGATACATCTTCAGTTACACTGGTCATAATTTATATATTACTGATAAAAAATCTTGCATTTCACAATTGCAATATTTCGTAATTTCTTCAACAACAAAATCTTCGGATATGTACACACATATATATTCTGTGGTATAAATACTCCATGTATATGTAATATTATGATTGCTGCTGTTGACAGAGCCAGATTTATTTACAATGTATCCATTAACCAAAGTGCTGCTTTCAGTTCTTAAACAGTAATTAACTACCTACCTGTAAAGCTGTAGACGTCGGAACTGAGAGGCATTGCCAGCTTTGTGAAAAAGAGCTGTAAATAGAGGATATTCAATGTTTTGTAGTTGAATATGGAATTTATTTCACAAGTGGGACGGCATTTTTTGATATTTTCAAGAGTGTGAAGCAGGAGTGAAAATATCAAAAAATCCTGTCTCACAAGTGAAATGAATTCCATATTTAACTACAAAACATTGAATTTTCTGTTTATTACATTTTAAAAAATTTCTTTGATTTTTTTTCCTTTGCCTCTGTCTTTTTGAAATACAGTCATAGGCTACACGATGACATAGTTGAGCGGTTGAGACGTCATAGCTAAGTGAGGTGAAAACATCGTAAACATGGATTTAGCAACCAAGAGCTAGGTTCACTTTGTGCAAAAAATGGCCCTGTACTTAAATCAATTATTTGACTATTACCCTCCTACCTATTTCATATATCAAAATAAAGTAGAGCCTAAGTGCTTTCATTTCCTATTATATATAATAATTAAACTTCTTTGTGAGAATCCAGGTATTGGAAATCAGGCTTTAAAAAAATGCAATATTCTTGAATTTTTCAGAAAACATGCATATTTGACTACCTTCAGCAAAGAATAACAATATGAGCACAGTCCATGATCCAAAAATTAAAACTTGTTTTTTGATCTTGGATTTTAGGCCATTTTCAAAGGTATTTATAGGATATGGGAAATTGGCACATTTTATGACATCATAATGCATTGACTAAAGGGAAAATTAGGTCATGTTCAATAGATATTAAGTCAACGAGAGTCCATGTTATAAATCCGGCATTTTCGGCCTAAACTAAGCAGTTTTGATTTTTCAGAAATTCTCAGGGCCAAAAAAGGCCCTAAGTTGCTCTTGCTCTTTGAGGTAATTTTGGCAGTTTTATTCTCTGTCAGAATGGTTTATTTACTTCTATCTATCTTATATCAGGTTAAGGAAGATTTTTTTTTACTACACTCTCAGTTATGGGAAGGAAAATCTCGAGTTTTACCGCACTTCTGATATTTGTCACATAATTTCTATTCAATGAATAAATTACAGTATTTCACTGGTAAAAATGTAATAATATCAAAAACACCATGAAGAAAAAAAACAAGCTGATAACACTAAAGGAACACTGGAATTTCGTCCTGATTTTTTAATACTGACCTGCTCGTTTGAGTCTATGCCAGACATCTTTGAGCACCCACACCGTTTGTTTCTGTAGCACCATGAAGGAGAAGATCTGGTTGTATTTGTTGACAGACTCCTCTGTGATTACAATGTTTACTGGCCAGGATACCTGCAAAGGAATTCATTATCTACTGTTAACACTGTATATTTACTTAGTGTTGCAGCACATCTAATACATGTATATCCCTTTTTGTACAGAATGTTACTATTTGCCTAGTATTGTTATGTTCTACCATGAAACATATCAGTTTTAAACCATGTATATTAAACATGTAACATAATGTGGGCTTTACATACTGTATCTGCTATCTACTATAAAGAGTTTTAATATATGTAAGGTATAAAGCCATACTTACTATATAACGAAGTTCCATACAGTCTAAAACAGACCTCCCTATAATATAGGAAAACAAATTACCATTTTATAAAATTATTTATGACAAGTAAAAAAGTGTACAAGGCGCATTTCAAAAGTTCTGGCAACTGTTTAATAAAAAATTAACCATTTTACGGAAATTGTTGAGTTTGAAATCATTGGAAAGATCAGAAAAATATACACATGCATATTGTGACGTCACGTTATAATTTTTATGATGTAATATTTCATACAATTGAGAGCTAAAAAAAAGGGTGAAAATCCAGCAATATCATGTAAATAAAAATCTTAAATGAATGTCGATTATAGCATAAGTGGACATAAACCGTGCTAGTAAACAAAGTTAACAAACCATACAATGAAATATGGAACTGCTGATACACAGTACCATAGTCCTCCTCCATCTCTTTGCAAATTAAAATTTTCTTTGAAATATTTTTTCAAATAAGCCTTTGGCAGTACTTTTACGATTGTCTCATATGGATAAAAACGTGACTTTTCAGTATGCTAAACATTCTATACTCTGACATCATTTTTGGAGTTATTACGTGATAAAAATTACAACGTGACGACACCATATGTGCATATTTCTGTGATCTTTCCAATGATATCAAACTCAATAATTTCCATAAAATGGTTAATTTTTTTATTAAACAGTTGCCAGAAATTTTGAAATACCCATTGTATTATACAGATTACTGCTTAAACTTTATTGTTTTTACATTTACTGTATGAACAAAGAAATATGATGCTAATTAAATATATCTGGACTTCAGTATCTCAAACCCCAAATCTTAAATGCCAGAAATATGTTGAAGTAATCTGGGCACCCTAACCTCCTATTCTATTTTACCCTCTATATCTCAAATCGCCAGATAACTTTTTTTCCTCAGATCTGTCAAATTCCAGTTAATGAGTTTTGACTGTGAGTTTTGATATGGCATTACAGAATTACAACAATTATTCAAGTGTGATAAAACCAAATGTTTCAGCTGTTCTCCATATAAAATTGTTACAGCTTTACCACTTCTTTGCATTGCAACAGATCTATCACAACCTGATGAGTATGAACACCAACCTTTAGCTGGGATATGTCCTGGAGGATACTTGAAGGCAAAGCTGAGATTTTCAGCCAGTTTATCATCTGTTTGTGTGGTGGACTTGAGTGCCTTGGATAAGGCACCATTTAGAAACAGGGGTGTCAACATCTCTCGTGCACTTACAGGGGAAGAAATCTATCATGAAAATATCACTAAAAGTTAGATTTTTTTTTACATGTGCAAACATTTTGAGACAATTAAAAGTGACTTTTAAAGTCCCGTTCAGTCACATGTAAGATTGTACCATCCCTGCCCCATTTTATTTAATATTTGCAACAACCTTTTCAAACAACATATCACTCAGCATCTGAGCGAAGTCTCCATTTTCCATAAGGAGGTAGCGCCTCAGAGCTTTAAAGTGGTCCATAAGACGTAGCTCCACAAAGAAGTAATCCAACAGACTCTCATTCACCAATGAAATCCTGTAAAACAAACATGGTAAAATCAACCAATGGTAATCCTGTATACAAATTTGGTTAAATCTACTGTGTTTCTTGGTCAGATATTTGATGCTAAAATAAGTATTTTGGCTCTTCTTTCAATAAAAAAAATAAATTTCTTTATTTTACATTCTCATACTTGCCAACCTCCAGCATGTAAAAATCTGGTCATGACCAGATTTGGAAAGTAAAAAATCTGGTCATAACGCGTAACGACATTCACGACATATTTACCATGATTAAATTTTATACATAATTATATATATACAAAGTATTTGTGTAAATTCTTTTATTGAAAAAGCTTTAATTTACAATGACAAAAAATTCATACATAATTTGATTAAATTTACATGTTAAAAAAGAGAATTGAAGGTTTCATATTTCAGTATTGACCTGAAGTAAGTGTGCATTTTTTTTTTAAAAAGCCTTTTCAGCTTCTGCTAAATTTGAAAGTATACCAATTTTAGTTTTGAAGTTATTTTTCCTCTCTCATTAATTAACTACTGCAATATGTATATATTAAATGTGAAGTTAGGCCTACACTGTTTTCGATCACTTTATATAATGAAAGTTTTTTTTCCCAGATTACTTGATGTGTACATAAATATTGTTTCTTTTTTTGGTTCAATCAGAGACATGTGTTTGGTTCAATTTGTGCTGGCCCTGATAACGATATAGTTCACAAGCCATTTTAATTGACTTCAAACATTGATTTGTCAAAACAACACCCAGTTAATTGTTTACACCTGCACTGATAATAATACTTTTAAAGGTTTTTAATTATTTTTTTGAAAAATTCAGTTTATGAAAAGCATGACCCGCCGGGTCATAAAAATTAATCGGGTTATAAATGTACAAGGAGTTGGCAACTATATTGTGTGTTACAAGGGAAATGTTACATAAGTTATCTTGGTAAGGCATCTCTCCATGATCTCTGTCAGGGGCAGATAATCATACACATCCACATCTGTCATCTGAGATATCCCATAATCCCCATGACCTCCGTAAACCATACCTGATGACATCATTAGCAAATCAACAACAGGGGGCTGGCCTGCCAGAATATAAAGTATTGTAAAATTGAAGATCAGGTACAAGTAAACAGTTTTTAAAAAAGAAACTGGCATTTAAATGTAACTGAATTCACAAACAACTATTTAGAGTACATTTAGTTTTCTTTGGTAAATAAATAATTTTGTTGAAGGCTTAATAAATTTTTCATGCCAAATTTCAGTTTATTTTATACATGTGCATGGAGTTTTATATTGTTTCTTACAGCATATTTCAAAGTTATTACAGGGGTGTCTGGATTTTCAATTGAGACATTTGTCAACAAAAAACACATTCATCTAAATTAATATTTGCAAAATGTTGAAACAAATTGAATATTTACTAGAGTTAAAGGATTATTAAGATGAAGACATTTCAAATAAATTTAAGAAATGTTAAGTTTGCCTACCTTTATCTCTCTTCAATCCATACAGCAGGGCCTGGACAGTAGAGTCTGAGGAGTGACCATAGACGTTCTGTCGTTTGAATTTCTCCAGTCTGGCCTTGTCTGTATCTACCCACTCAGACTCCTTCGTGGATGACATCACACTAGAGAACTTGATTCCTGACCTTGGAGCATCACTGGCCTCCGATTCCTTTGTGGCAGACATTTTTTTGCTCATTTTAATTCTGGGTTTGATTCCAAAGTCCTTGTAGTCAGATTCCAGAGATGCGTAGATTTCCTCTGGGCGTTTGAGCCGTGGGACGTTGATCTGGACTTCCTGTTTAGACAGCTGGCTGACGTGTCCATACAGACTAGCTGGCTTCACTTTCCACTCTTTCCCTTGAGTTTCAGCTGATACACCTGTCCCAACCTGACCTTTAAGCTTTGGGAAACTGACCTCTTTAGTTTTTGTGGACTCCTTTGTGGCGTTCCTATCACCATGTGACTTTAGATGGGGTTTGTATTCCTTAGATTCAGTCTCAGTTGTTGCACTCATATGACTGGAGAGCTTAACTCCGATCTTGGTACTCTTTATAGGTTCCGACTCTTTAGAGGAATGTCTGTCAGACACAATGTGAATGTGTGGTTTGGCTGATGTAAGGTCAGTAGTTTCTTTAGATGGATGATGCTCGGGGAAGACATGGATGGTAGGCTTGTTTGTGGATTCTTCACTCTCCATGTTTACCCTCCTCCCTCGCGACACTTCAGGCTGGTGTTCTGATAGATGACCACTTTCCTTCTCCAGACTATAACAAAGCAGTGTACCTTTAACCTTTACTTCTTAGATACTGACTCATTTGATCTTTAATACATTATCTAATAGATCATTGAATTCTTTTCATAAAATCATGAATCTATTTCTAATAAATGTTCAAAAGATTACAATTTTTAAAATATGTTTTTACTTAAACTTCTGCACAATTTGATTTTGTAAGTGTCATGTACAGTGTATGTAACTATTACTCTAATAAATAAGAGTAATGTATATGTTTGATATTAAAAGTGTGACCTTGACCTGACCTTGAGAGTCTTCTAGCAGCCCAGGCAGGGAGTTGAACCTCCTCTGGTTCCTCTATGGCTGGTATTAATGGCGCTGGTTTGGCTATCACTCTCCGCGCCCACGCTGGTAAATCAAGATCTGCCTCGTCCGACCTCTTGTTCTCCCACAAGGCTCTGTCAATCTTCCTGCCCTGTAATTCAATAACATTCACTATAAATCAAAATTTGACATCCCTAGCACTTTGCTATAAGTAACTTTTACCACATAATGTTTCAAAAATCAATCTTGTCATGAAATTATTAAAGCATGTTTCACAGTCATTGCTAAGATATTTCTTTATAAGAATTCAGGATATTTCACCTCTGGATTGGCCTCCATTTCCTCCCTCCATGCTTGTTCGTCCTCGGACAGGAAGTTACGTCTGGCCTCATTGAGGACTGAGCGTCTTATCTTCCACATTGCCTTCTCCTCTCGTTCTGTTGCTTCCTTGGTCAGCTTGGCATAGTAATCTATGATCTCAGCCCTGCAATAAAGACAAACAAGAGGCCCATGGGCCACATCGCTCACCTGAGAAGCTTTGACCATTCTGTTCTTTAGCAGATATACCCTTGTTATATTAATGCATCCCCATCCTACCCCACTGATCATAATTTAGACATTTTGAAATCTACACTACCACATGATCCTTCCATGGGCACATGTTTCAGCTTTTTGGCCCAGTGGTTCCCGAGAAGATAATTTTCAAAGATTTTTCCTATATATTTCTATGTAAAACTTTGATTCCCTATAATGGTCCTGCCCTTCGGGGGTCATTTTCCTACAATTTAAAATTTACACTAAAAAGAATGCTTCCACATAAGCTTCACTTTTTCTGGCCCAGTGGTTCTTAAGAAGAAAATTTTCAAAGATTTTTCCTATATATTTCTATATAAAACTTTGATTTCCCATTGTGGCCCCACCCATCCCCCGGGGGTCATTAATTGAACAATTTAGAATCTACATTATACCAGGATGCTTCCACATAAGTTTCAGCTTTTCTGGCCCAGTGGTTCTTGAGAAGAAGATTTTCAAAGATTTTTCCTATATATTTCTATGTAAAAATTTGATTCTCTCATTGTAGCCCCGCCCTTTCCCTGGGGGTCATGATTTGAACAATTTAGAATCTACACCATACCAGGATGCTTCCACATAAGTTTCAGCTTTTCTGGCCCAGTGGTTCTTGAGAAGAAGATTTTCAAAGATTTTTCCTATATATTTCTTTATAAAACTTTGATTCCCATTGTGGCCCCACCCATCTCCCGGGGGTCATTATTTGAACAAATTAGAATCTACATTATACCAGGATGCTTCCACATAAGTTTCAGCTTTTCTGGCCCAGTGGTTCTTGAGAAGAAGATTTTCAAAGATTTTTCCTATATATTTCTATGTAAAACTGTGATTCCCCATTGTGGCCCCGCCCTTCCCCCGGGGGTCATGATTTGAACAATTTATCTACACTGTACCAGGATGCTTCCACATAAGTTTTTTTTCTGGCCCAGTGGTTCTTGAGAAGAAGATTTTCAAAGATTTTTCCTATATATTTCTATGTTAAACTTTGATTCCCCATTGTGGCCCCGCCCTTCCCCCGGGGGTCATGATTTGAACAATTTAGAATCTACACTATACCAGGATGCTTCCATATAAGTTTCAGCTTTTCTGGCCCAGTGGTTCTTGAGAAGAAGATTTTCAAAGATTTTTCCTATATATTTCTATGTAAAACTTTGATTCCCCATTGTGGCCCCGCCCTTCCCCCTGGGGTCATGATTTGAACAATTTATATCTACACTGATGCTTCCACATAAGTTTCAGCTTTACTGGCCCAGTGGTTCTTGAGAAGAAGATTTTTTAATGACCCCACCCTATTTTTGTCTTTTCTGATTATCTTCCCTTGCGAATATGTCCCTTCATTTTAACAATTTAAATTCCCCTTTACCCAAGGATGCTTTGTATTAAGTTTGGTCAAAATTGGCCCAGTGGTTCTTGAGAAGAAGTCGAAAATGTGAAAAGTTTACAGACGGACAGACAGACAGACGGACAGACGGACGGACAGACGGACGGACGACGGACAAAATGTGATCAGAAAAGCTCACTTGAGCCTTCGGCTCAGGTGAGCTAAAAATATGTATTTTTGCTGATATTATTGTCAATATATATCTGAATTAATGGTTTCACAGCTATGAAAAAGAAGGTGTGAAAAGAACACAGAAACCTTTTTAATTTGTAAAATATTGTTTCCCTGTTTTAAGGTTTTTCATTATGAATACTATAGACTTGGCTTTCTGTCGAGGAACTTCTTGGTTAAACATTTTACCCAATCCTTTTGAATTAAAACACAAAAAAAGATATCTTCAAACCTGAGCTCATGTTTCCATTCCCTTTTTCTGTTTTCAGATTTTTATTTCTCCAAGTTTTCTTTCTTACCTTGCCTCAGCCTCTAACTCTTTTTCTTTTTCTGTCATTTCTCTTTCTTGTATCAGTAACAGCTCCATTCTCTCTTTGTCTGCCTTCTTCTCCATTAAAACAGAATCGGATCGCCTCTGCAAAATTAGGGTAACTGATTTGTAACTCCAATAAACACTTTTAAACCATTCACTGTCAATTTCATATCATTTGTCCTTCCTATTCTAGAGCGCCATCATTTAAATAAATTACTTAGTATACGATTCATCAAATATTCTACTTCTGCATGAATTTTAGTATTAAGGTGCTTTACCATCTGTCCACAAGCAATCAAACCGACTGACCATAACAGGGAGCATTGTGAAATTTATTCATTGATGCATAGTTTTATGAAGATTTTTAATTTGCCTAGTTTGTTGGGACATTAAATCTTATGCCCTGGAAATGACAGGGAGAGCTATGGTAACCATTGTCTGGGCAATAAACATCTAATGAGGAGGCATGTTCTACTGCTGGTTTCTATTTGGGGACCAGTTTATTCCTGGTCGAGCATGTCACAATTTCTCCCTTCCTGTTAAACAGGTATTTTAATAATATATCCATGATACTGAATAAAATATTTCATCTTGTAATATTTACCTGGAGATCTTCTTCCATCTGCTTCTTTAGTATGGCAAACTGTTCTCTCTTCTTGGCATTAGCTAGAGTTCTCTTCTTTAAGATGGCCTCTGTAACATACATAGTATATGTAAAAGCCAATAAGTCTGACACTTAAAGCAATACTTTTAAGAGGAATGGAGTGAAATTGATCAAGTATACAAAGGATTATAGTTCCGTTTATTTCTGATGACAGCCTTAATGTCAGCCTAGCAATGTTTCCAGTCATTACCCTGTATCCTCTCCACTTCCTTTGTAGCCGCCGCCTTGGCTCGTCTCATCAGATCTCTCTTCCTCTCTCGGACCTGGTCCTCCGCCGCTTGTCTGAAATTACATTGGGCAAGAATCTCTGTTATATACAGCCAGTTCTAAACATTACCAAAAAAAATCATTTTATTTTGCAAATACTTTTAATTTAATCACCTTGACTTGATACAGTAAGCTGTAATATTTTCATAAGTAACCGTGAAAAGATTAATTTTTTGTCTATTTTTATATCTGACCTAGACACGGTTTTTAACTACTTTTATATCTAACCTTGACATGGTTTGCTGTCTGGCAATCTGCTTCATCTTGCTGATGTACATCTGGCACTGTATCATTGTATTACGGAGTTCACTGTCGGAGAATGTTAATGAGATTCTGGGGATGTCGAGCTCCTTCACTTCACACAGAAAATGCTACAAAATTAATATAAAAGTACAGTCTGATTTAAAACATGGTTCCACTTAGTAAGTAACAGTCATTAAGAATTTTATTACAAAAATACATGATCTCTACTGTGTTAGTATGCAAGCTGCCTGTCTTTTAAAATAAACTTATTTTACATTCTTTATTCATGCAAATAATATACCAAAAAAATTACAGCAATTTTAATTCTCTTTTCCAATGCCAAAGTCATCTTTGTTTTGTTCAGTTTCTATCAATTATAATATCTAAATATATTGCTCAGGAAAAGAACTGTATTAACATCCTCATATTTTGACACAGACTCTTCATTCAATTCCTTGAGGCCAACAGACTTGGGAACATTTCATTTAATAAATTCAACAATTTAATTTTATACTGATAAATCAAAAATTATATTATATATATACACATATTTTGCAGGCACGAAAGGCAATTCTGTCATCACCTAAGGATATCAGCAGATTAAGAAAGATAACTCTGTAAAGTTGAGTTTACATACATGTGGAGAACATGTCTTTAGGAGGTTGAGGGATTTCCCACAAATAAAAATATCACTGGCTAAGTTATGGAGGAATCCCGGGACGAACTCGACATCATGATCCATCATTGTGTAGCTGTGGCTCCAGTAATGCTTGTCTGTAACCAAAACAAGAACTTTACCAGCAGTACTCAGAACAAAAGAATTATTCTCATGCAACAAAGTTTTAATCCATATGTGTTTGAAATAATCTTGCACCTGATTTTTCCTTAAAGGGATTTTCTCTTTTCTCAGATATTCTAAAACTATCTGATGAAAATTAATATTTGTTTCTGAATGTTTTTTAAAAATCTCACCCCTAAATCTGAGGTAGTCATCATTAACAGTGATCATGAACTCTCCGTAAGTGTCACTGAGAACGCCGTGATAAACCCACTCCTTCACAAACCTAAAAATATAGGACATACCGTATAACTGGTTTATAATGCGGGTGCAAATTTTGGCGATTTGATCTTGAAATAGATACATTTATTTTTTGCGATTTTAATTTTTGCGATTTCACTTTAACAATAAAGTCTATTTTTATTGAATTTTACTACTAGACATTTAAACAATTAAGTCCATTTTTATTTTTTATTGAACAAACCAAAGCAATTTAAAATACAGGTGACTCTCGATGGCTTGAACTCCGATCTCTCGAAGTGAACCTCCGGTCCCGTTTTTTCCTCTATATAACTAAGCAAATTTACTCCTGATCTCTCGAACTTCTATCTCTCAAAATTCTCTATCTCTCGAACCAAAACCTGGGTCCCGTTACACATATTTCATTGAATTTTACTCTCTATCTCTCGAAGTTTTGATTGCGCTTGTATACACGCCAATCAAGCGTAAAATAGATGCAGTCTGGACTTACCTGGAAACAGTGAAGGCCTTGGGCTGTTAATTGGGTGTTTACATAGATGACACTACACCTGTGGGTCGTCCGTGTGTTGTTATAATTAATGGGTTATTATTCACAGGGTAAATTAGAAACAAAGTCAAAATTATTTTGAATTGAAACCGAGACGATAATTCTTTGAAATTAATTTATAGAAGTTCGTTTCAGTAAGTTCCCATAGACTATGGACTTTCATTTATGATTATAAAGAGTTTATATAATCCCAGTAGGGGAGATATTACACAAGAAATTCTTTTCTCAAGGACAGAATACCGATTAAGAAAAATCTGGTAAGCACTGGTGAAGGACCCGATCAAGCCGCGGAATAGCCAAACCGACAATTGCTATTCAGGTTTCATATAAATAAATCATGAAATACAATGTAGGAACAAATAAATATTGAATCTTTAGGAATTCGTTTTATTTATTCGAAAAACAATCATTGTTGTTGATATCAAGTAAATTACCTGTAAAATAAACGTGCAATAGCATTATTTACATATACTTCCGGTATCTGTAAAAGTAGAGCTTCGATGATCGCAACTGAAAATTCCGGATTTTATTTACGTAGTTTTGCAATTGAATTTTTTGCGATTAAGACTTGATCGCAGAATTTCGCAAAAAATAGCATCCCGTAGAAAAATCCAGTTATACGGTAGTGCTTATAGATCTACTATATACATTTGTATTTTTATACATTAAACAAAATATCTCAAAAAAATCTTACAGGTTATACGGTCCACAGGAAGTCTGTAGTATGGAGAGCATCATGGGATAGTTGTCAGTGTTTATTGAGTCTGCTGTTTCCTGGTACAGATAACTCAAAAGCTCCACTCCCTGACAAAAATAATCAAATCATTATCTGAGACAAGTAAAACATGATAGTCTCACTTTATATCATGAAATGTATACAGTTGGAGCTTTTATTTTTACCTTTGGAAATGCCTCCAGTTGTTGCATTCTCACAGGTTGTTCACAATGACACATTGTGGATAAATATCTATAAACAAAAGAAATGTTTAAACACTTTCAATTTAAATAAGTCATTATGCAATGAGATTTTCAGACATATTAATAAAAATGCTGCTTTCTGCTGAAAACAAATTGCATACTTCATCTGAGCAAAAAGCTTGTGACAGAGGAACTTGAGTTGCAGGATGTTTAGACTCTGAATGGACAGGACAACTGCTGCATAGTGATGGAGAACACGATTCAGAGCAACAAGAAATGCCTGGAAAATCAATCCTCCATTGTAAATCGTGCTGGAAGCACAAAAAGCTCGCAGACGGCAGTATCGTGTTCCACAATCAATGAAATCACCAACAAAACTCTGAAAGGCTTCTGGTGTCAGGCCATGTAATTCACAGCCTTCCCCCAGGTAAAAAGTCTGCAACTCCTAAAAATCAGAAAACAAAGTATCAAGTCAGGAATACAGGATAAAAAGATAAAGGGATAAAAAACAATTAAAACAGCTCCTGTATCATGAAAAAATTCATATAGACTTCTCATTAAAAGCCTGACCTTCATTGCTACATACTGTGGAATAATTTTAATTGGTGAAGGTCAATATTCATGGGCCAATAAAATTTACTTGTTTATGAGGACGTAATTTTGTACGTTACTTGTTTGTATGATAGATTCAATGAATCAATTTGTTCATGGGGATGTAAATTTATGGGTGAAAGTAACCCACAAAATCCACCAACATTGATCCCCAACGAACAATGCTGATTCTACAGTATTTGCAGGCATATATAGCAATGCAATTTTGAGTGGAAAGTGGGGATGAATTGTTTATTCATGCACAAGAAGTAATTCTTTAAGTTGAAAAAAGTTTAACACTAAGGTAAATATTCTACTTGCATGTATAACCTTAAAGCTGACATGAATTCTTAAAAACGCAACATTTTCATCTATGTACGACTTGTTTCATACCAACTATAGCCGTATTCCGCCATATTTCTTTCAGATACTTTGTCTCATTGTAACGATGTATACACCAATGCGCTCGTTACACTTGAATGATTTTTTGGATTGGGTATCGACTTGTGCACATCTCCGATGGTAAAGCATATGAGAACACATGAGGTGATCAAGACATTTCAAAAACAAAATGAACAACATAATAATCATATTGTAACAGGAAAGGAGAAAATGCATGGCTGGACCGGGAATCGAACCCGGGACCCCTGTATCTCTAGTCAGGTGCTCTAACCACTGAGCTATCCAGGCCGATATCCACGGCCCGAACCATTACATTCTTCCCTCCTTAAATGGTCTTCGCCCTAGAAGACACAACCCAAGTTCTTATTGCCCCTGGCAGGACTTTCACCTGCAATTCCAGGGGTGGTCAACGGCACCAAATCTGTAACAGGAAAGGAGAAAATGCATGGCTGGACCGGGAATCGAACCCGGGACCCCTGTATCTCTAGTCAGGTGCTCTACCAACTGAGCTATCCAGGCCGATATCCACGGCCCAAACCATTACAATATTTTTGAATGATTATTTATTTGAATCAAAAGAAAAAAATGCAAGTTTGGAAGAGAAATTTAGATGCATGAGTACGTATTTTTACAGTGCGCCAATTTATGCAGAATAAACTTGAAATAAAAAGCAGTAAAATTTGCAAACACATTTTGAATTTATATCATTGAACATTGAATGGAACAAAAGAACCAATGTCTTTGATTTGCAGATCCTATGCAATTGATGCATGTCGAGGAAACGCCTCGAACGCTGTAAACGTACCCATACCTGGTAATAAGGTTACTGCATCGGTTCGAAGATGTGCACAAGTCAAGTGATATACACCCTGAATTCCATTTATTGAAATATGCATCACAAAAAAGAAATAAACTCCATAAAAGCTCAATAGTTAACACACTGTCATTACTCCGCACACACTACCACGACTATACACTTAGTCCGTGCTGATCAGATTTTGGTCAGGGAAAATATCAAAAGTGGAAAGAGAAGTTATTTGGTATTTGCGCAGCTGAAAGAGGGGGGGGGGATATTATAACTGATGTTCATAAGCTATAATTGTGAATTGTTTATCTACATGTAGTTCTAATATACATTCTATACAAAGTCATGTATATAGCCTGCAGTTGGTTTGCGTCGCAAAATTCATTTGTCAATTATAACTGATTATTTTAGTTCTAATCTCAAATCTAAACAAAGTAATTTGATGTACGGCTATAATTTACTTCAAATCTTAAAAGCAATTAATCAGAATACAAATTTTTATGTGTACATCTATACATTCTTTAACACATACAGACACGGAGAAAGGCCATCCCCTGTTCAGATTGACATTTAGGCATTTGATTTTTTGGACGGGGGGGGGGGGGGGGGCATACAAAAATAATTGACATGACCGTTATTTAAATATTCTTGGAAGACAGAAATTTCTGCCGAATTCAGTTTTGAGATTTTTTTTAAAATGTGTCACTCCGACCACAAAGTATGTGCATTTTGAGGAATGTAACTGTTTTATAATTATGTATTTACAGGAAGTATTTCGAGATTTCAGTATCCCTGCCTGATAGTCTAGGTATTTTTTTTTTTGATATATAAATAATTTCTGTAGGTGATTTTGGGAAACAATTTTAAAAGCTAGGGTAGAAATACTTGACACTGGTTGAATACGGATAATTATTATTTATTCTTTTGTATATTGAACTCTCTCTCTCTCTCTCTCTTTCTGTCTGTAACCATCCGTTGGGGCAATGATAGGTATAAAATTCTACGCACTTTGTGCTGTACCATTTATTATGCCTTAGGACAGATCAAGGATTTTTTTCAGGCGGGATGTCGAAACTTCATAAATTGAATAATAATTTTACTTTGGACAGGAAATTAACCCAAACGCCAAAATTGAAAGAGAAACTAGACGTACATGTATTATGAGCAATGAACTTACTAAATGATACCCCCTGCCTCCCATATGGTTATAATGGCAAAGTCCACATTTCGCTAAACCCATACGTGTCAGATCAAAAAGTAAAATAGGAGGTGCATAATGGTAATATGTAATAAACTTAGGATTCTTTGAAAGTTTCATTAAATTTCTCTAATCGGTGTCAGAGGATTTGCGGATAAGAGATGGTTACCCCAAAGCGTAACAGACAGACGAACGGACATAACGATTACCTCCCACTTTTCAGGCGGGGGATATCAGGGGCGTAGCTAGGACTATTGTAACGTGTAGGCCGAAGAATGAAACCGAAGGTTTCACCGAGGCGCGAAGCGCCGAGGGGGGGTAGGTGCTGGAGGGGGTCGCCCCCTCCCGCTGGGGGGGTTCGGGGGGTCACCCCCGAGAAATTTTTGAAATATTAGGACTCATTTGCACTACTCTGAGCATCAAAAATATTGAAATAGACATTAAATTTTGTATTACAAATATCTTTAAAATGATGTAATTTTAAAGAATTTTTGTACCAGATTTTGCACGCATAGTCATGACATGTGGTATTACGTGTTGTATTAAAAATGACTTGTGCATGTAATATGAAATTGATAGGATTTAGTGTAAGATTTTAAAAAGATTATCCACAAAATTTTATCATTTTTTATTGCTTTAAAATTCAAATTCTCCTTCAAATGAAATTGATTTTTCTGTTTTTCACAGCAACAAAATTGTCAATTACAGCATCAATGTCAACTGGCATATGACGTTGTACATGCAACAGAGAAAGATTGGACATCCTTTCGTCTCCCATAGTTGTTCTCAAATAATTTTTAACTCTACGCATCGCACTAAACGAACGCTCACTAGAGGCCGAGGATACTGGCATGGTCAAGAAAATGGACAGAACGCAGAAAATGCCAGGATAAATGTCTTTGTTGGTTTTATTCAGGAGATCGATGATTTTATTCGGTCCTGTATCGGTACCAGCAAGATTCCATCTAATCCTCCATCTTGTTATTTCATCCACAAACTCTACTTTGCTAGTGAGGTCTGACTTATAGGCGTTGTACAGACGATCTGTAACATCCGCTGTAAGGTCTTGCAGTTTGGCTGGTAGCAAATACGAAATTAAAAATCTCTCTTCGTTCTTTGTTACTCGACTAGATATTTCGTTTACCAGGTGATCTAAAAAGACGAGATACAACGAAACTCTCCAGTAATCCGACGGGTTGTTTAGGGGATGATTTTCTCTGTGTTGTTGACGTCCTGCTCTTCTTGGAACGCATGGCTGCAAGTCATGCTCTGCAGCTATTTCAGTTGCCCTGCCATACAATGCATCCCAAACACTAATGTCGTTTCTTTCATCAGTTAATCTCCTGATAACGACTTTGGCCTCTGTTACTGCTTCTAAAAGGTCTATGTCCTTTTTTTGAAGATAGTTTGTTAAGGCTACTGTAGAGCTCAAAACGTGTTCCGCTACAACTAGTGCAATGATAAATTCAAATCTCAAAATAGCAGCTAAGTATTGCGATGCCTTCTCATCTTTAGCATCTTCAAGTGATTGGAGGGCAGCAACGACCACGGGGAAAGCTGAGCGGAAGGTGAACAGTGAATCTGCTCGACTTGACCAACGCGTTTCGCACAGTGTTCTGAGTTTTGTTCGTCGGTCCATCTGCTCCTGTACGTCATCGTTTTCAGCCAGTTCGTCGGAGAATGCTTTCAAACGCTTTGCAGAATAATCAAAACAAAATGCCACATCCTGCACTGTTGACATCATGTTTCGAATGCACATAACCTTGCTGCTGTGTATCAATGCAAGATTCAGCGAGTGTGCTTTGCAGTGAACATAAGAAGCCTCGGGAACAACTTGAAGTATCCTGGCCTGGACGCCACTGTATTTCCCCGACATGTTAGCAGCTCCATCGTAGCACTGAGCTCGTAGATTCTGAATATTCAGGTTCAATTCAGCAAGAAAATCAATGATGATATTGGAAACTGCCATACCTTTCACACTCTCTGCATATTTAAAGCCAACAAACTCTTCTCGTATCTCAAGACAACCATCGATACTATCAAGAAACCTAATGCACAAAGACATCTGTTCTTTTGTAGAGGAATCGGTACATTCGTCAGCAATAATGCCCAAAAAACTTAGAATTCCTGCAAGAATCCACAATGTTTTTGCGCACCTGGTTTCCAAGCAGATTGATTAGTTCATTTTGGATATCAGGGGATAAGTAGGTAGAGCGTGACGCGTGACGCGTGGCAAGGTGGTCGCTTAAGACGGGGTCTCTCTTGGCAAATTCAGAAAGGATGGCAATGAAGTTACTCTTATCTTCAGTGTGTCCCCTTATAGGGATGTTCTGCCTACCACATAGTAATAGCACTTCGATAATTGTCTTAAGTATATGTCTATTTCTCTCAGTATGTTTTTTGTGGCTTGATGATAGCATGCTCACAACGGTATCTCCCTTCCCTTCACTTACTCGTACAAATTCTTCCCCCGCCGTTACACAACCCTTATGAAATGCTAAATTTTCATGGCGCCGCCCAAGTGATAGCAGATTTTTCCAGTCTGTCATTGGACTGGATAAGAACGATTTTTCTTTCGAATCAGCATTGCCAAATAAGAAACAGTACGCACAAAACACAGAGTCGGTGGAAATAGAATAGCGCATCCAATGATGGTCTTTCAACCAAGATGGTTGGAATCGCCGAGATTTGGTACCAAAGGACCTGTAAAATTTAAATATAGCCAGCATTCAGGTACACTCATCCAACTCTCAATTTTCTTTGTGCAAACGACCAACAATGCTTATTATTTTACGTTCGGTACTTGGGACTTGGATCAATATTCCATCCCTCCTCTAATCAGCTAATTTCATTTCTTCTTTTTTTGTTTTTTTTATTTCTTTTTTTTTAAATCTGGGATTGACTTTTTTTGTATTTAAGCCCCAAAAAATTATTTATTGTCTCTGACATGGATTATTAAAGTTATGTAATCAGCAAATCTTATCAACATTTTTTAAACCAAATTTGACAAAGACAAAAAAAGGGGTGGTTGATTTAAATCTATATTGCAAGTACAAGAAAAATTAAATGTGTCTATCCAATATCAATATAAATAAATGATGAAATTGATAATTTGATGTGTGACTTGTTTTTATATGACTGCTTTATGTACAAATATCTACAATTCAAATGATAACATAATAAAGGAAAACCAATGTAAAGTACTATGCAACCCTGTCAATGTAATTCATGCTAGAAGGACACATGTATATGAGTTTTTACCTTAATAAGGTGGGAATAGGGGGTGGGGGTCTTGATCCATGTCACAAGTGTCTGAGGACTAAATATCAAAGATCAAAGGTAATATTTAGAATGAAAATAATTTTCTACTTTCTTATAGTTTGTAGATGTGTATCTGAACAATGATCTTGGTAAATAAATTCATTGTTTACTGATATTTAGGTACGAAGCTAAAGCAGCAAATATTGTGTTCAAAGCAACACCGACTGTCACAGAGAGCTCGCACATAATTAGATAAAGTTTAATTAGATTAATGGGATTCAACATACCTTTTATTAGTATTTACGTATATGCAAAGAAAGGTATGTTGAATCCCATAAATATATTATCATAAGGCCTAAATTAGAATATTGTTTGTTTCCCCTTTCCGACTCAGCATTGTGACCTAAGGGTCGGTAGGTAGGAAAAATATTTTATTTTTTTTCCAACAACAATTATTAGATATCAGACAATAAAGTTCAATCATTTGTAATTTTTTGATTAAGTTTAAATTTGTTTATCAATGTTTAATAGCAAATATATTAGACACATCCACCGAGTTCAGGTATGATAGGAATGAAATCATTTAAAAAATATTTTTTCCTCAGATGAGGCAATAAAATTTTTTGAGTCCCGGCGATTTTGGTGGGTCGGTGGGTAAGGGGAAACAAACGATATTTTATTTTAGGCCTAGTAGTAAACATTACAAGAATTATATTTGTTAAAATTGAACCCTGTACGTACTAGATCTATAGGATATTTTGAATCTTGTCATTAACACATTGTTAACGTCGCTATTTTATATCTAAAACAGTTGTAAAGTTATAGTCTAAGGTTAGCCCGTTTTGGTTCAATTTCAAATGAAATACGATGTTAGGCCTACGTCAGCATGCACCACCCCTAAATGAATGCGTTAACATGTTCAGGCGCGGATCTAAAGGGGGGGGGGTTGAGGGGCCCCCCCTGGAATTTGCGGAATAGCAAAATAGAGAATGTAGAGTAACTAAAAAATGACCTCTGACCCCCCCCCCCCCCCCCCACTGGAATTTGTGGATTACAAAAAATTATTCGTTTGCCACCCCGGAATATATTGGTAAAAGGTGGAAGGAAGAGGGGTATGTAATTGACGTAGCGAGTAGCAAAAACTCTTCTCTCTCTCACACCCCCACCCCCACCCTCCGATTAGGATTTTGAGAATTTTGGAAAGAGTTACTGTCCTTTGAAAAAGTACTAGCCCCCCCCCCCCCCCCCCCGAATTAATATTTTGAGAATTTGGGGTTTGGGAAGACCATCTTTTTTTTCATTTAATGAGTTGTGGTGAGGAAAAGGTCTAGGGTATAATTTTTTGGACATAATTGGACCCCCCCCCCCCCCCGGAAAAAAAAATCTTGGATCCGCGCCTGATCTTTATAGGCCCTTAGGCCTTAAATAACAAGTACTCCGCTCGCACGGTGTCGGCACCATCAGCATATTTCACAAATTTTAGAAGACTGTAAGGTTTCTTCATGTGTTCATATTGTAGTATGTACTAACCTTGACGGAAATTCAAAGTCATGCTGATGCCATTTAGATTTGAGAATTTCCACTTTGCAGTGATCTGAAATTTGGTGTTTTGACTCGGGAATAATTTTACCAAGATCTGGATAGGTAGGCACATCACTGTTATTTATGGCACTGTTGCTGTCATTAGATACAGATTTTGGTCTACACACTGAATTTAAATTTTTCCGGGTGATAAACTTATCCATGACTTAAATAATCAATTAAACGCTTGACGTGTATGTACTAATTCTCTATTACGACAAGCACCTTAATGTCATGTAGGAACATTATAAAAAGAAAAGGTCAGACGAATAATAATTTTATATCCGATTTTAAAACCTGTATGTATGAACATTGGGCCTAAATTATTTTTTGCAAAAATTTATGGGCTTTTTTTTTTTTTTTTTTTTAGTGACAATGTGTAGGCACGTGCCTACTCGAGCCTAACGTAGCTACGCCCCTGGATATGATAAACGTGAAATATAAATCACAGGAATTGGAACTTTGGGAACTTTCTCGAATACCTTCTCAAACGTATGTGTCGAACTTGGACAACAGACAGAGGATTTTTAAAAAGCTAGTTTTAGGTAGAATGTGGAATTCTCACGAGGAGTTTATTGTCTCTTCCTATATGCTAATTCTAATAATCATTAATTATTTATGTCTAGAAATTTAATTCACAATAAATTCTCTTTTCATTATCATTGTACCAAAGAATCAAACTCGTTTAATATACCCCACGCGTGAGGTATAATGTTTTTGACCCGTCTGACAGTCAGTCTTTTTTTTTTTTTTTGATTAGCGCAACTTCTCATAAACCACTGCACAGAGTTTTGTCAAACTTTGCAGATATTTATAAGAGACAATGTGTGTGTATATTTGCACATCATCAGGAAATTCCGAATTCTTTATTTTTCGGAAATTCCCGCACTTTTACATTTAGATTTTGGCCATATCTTGAATATAGAGGTGAGCAGTTTGTCAGCGCAACTCCTCATAAACCGATGCATACAATTTCGTCAAATTTTGCAGATATTTAGGACACAATGTGTATAGATGTGCATATTACAAGGAAATTACGATTCCTTTATTTTTTTCTGGGAATTTCAGCACTTCGACTTTTGGGGGAGCGTCGGGTATGTGAACGTGCTCACTTTTTCTTTCATAGTGCATAAAATTATAAATAACTTTAAATCAAATTATATTAGGTCTAATAAAGCCAATACACAGTATTTATTTGATAATAATTGATCATAAAGAAATCCAATCTGTTTCAGACGTTTTTCTTACATTATTTTTATGAGAGTGTTATGCATGTTTTATTTCCCCCCCCCCCCAATATCACAGGAAAATATCTTCAAAAGGTAAATGATTCGTAATAATGCCTGCTTTTTTATGAATTTGATGAAGTTAAACCATGTACTTAATCGTAAATTACAGACAAGAGTAATGTTTATTTTTGAAAAAATTACTTGCATTTTTTTTTTCAATCAACCCCACTGAGCTTTCAACCTTTGATATTTTCCCTGACCAAATAAAATGATCGGCATGGGCCACATGTGTCCAAGCATCTTTTACTGTTGAGTTAGCAATGGATTACATGACTTCTGAGATGCATTTTTCAATAAAAATAAAATAGGATAATTCTTTTGACATGTGCACATCCCTGTAACGATATCAGAAGTCAGGTAAATGTTTTTATCACTGCGTTTGACGCGTTTTCTCGACCTGCATGGGTGTTTGATGCACATGTATGTATTCCGTGTTAGTTTATTTTCTATATTGCAGCAAATGCATTCAAAAATAATTTAATTCTCGGTATAGTTCTATTTTTTGTTGAATTTTTACTTTTCAAACATGTATTTGGTCAGTTTATGGACTTCTACAAAACTTCGTTATCGGAGATGTGTACATGTCGACAGTCAGGCTAGAAAATCACTCAAGTGAAGCAATCGTACAAGGCTATATATAGCAGGTACAGGTGACCAAAAATTTTCAATTAAATATGGCGGAATTGAAGAAATATGGCGGACAAAGGCGTACAGGAATGTAGCAAGTCGTACAAAGATGAAAAATGATGGCTTTTTAAGAGTTCATGTCAGCTTTAACTACAGTAAATCCTGTTCTGTCTTTACAAGTTGCTGACCTTGTTGATGATAAACAGGTGGGAGGGGATGCCGATCATTAGGTGAAGGAGGTCCTGGGTGACCTGTCTGGGGCTGAACTTCCTGACCGGGGGAGGCTGGAGGTCCGGGGAGAACAGACAGAGTTCCCTCCTCTTGATTTTACTCCACTCCTGAACCCCTCGCTGTCCCAGTTCCGTCATGTAAGGTCTCTCAGTGGGGCCTCGACTGAAACATACATTGTAGACATTATATACTTATGTCAAATGAAAAAAAAATTCAAATCATAAAAATTGTTTCACTTAGTTTGAAAATATATAGTAGCAGATAAATTGGCCAGTTTAGTTCCAGAACTTGTTTCTACCTTCTTCTATCAATATAATTTCAGGAAGAATACAGTATTATTAAAATAATCCTAGAAACCACTGAAAGATTAGGACAGCATTATTTTTTCACTAACCGCCCTCGCTTGTCCCATGTGAAGAACTGACTCTGGGTCATGTTCAGGCAGTCGTCCCAGTGGGTCGTGCTCGGCCTGAGCTGGACGTCAGATATAAAGCCACTGGACATCACCGAGGTATCCAGGGTTACAGGGGGAGCCTGCCTCTCCCTCTTCTGAGGAATGTGAATCTCAAATATCCTACAAAGCAGTTTAGGTTTGTTAACACTTTGTTGTTAAATAAATTAATCATTCATTAACGATTTCTTTATGATTTTTTAAGGCAATTGATAAACCTGAGTACACAGTTAGATCTCCAAAACTCCCAAGCTTTGATAGAAATACAGTTCAAGAGTTTGTAAGAAGTGGGGTGAATCAGTAACATTTAGCTAGAAGGGATAAAACACACAGAGTAGTGTAAAGCTTTGAAAATCTGTTTTATTTTTTTCTGTGAGACCTACCCACTTTCTGGAAAGTCAGGTAACTCTAGTCTGTCATTTAGGGCTATCTGTTTAGGCTGGACTAGACCTCCAAACAGGGAACCTTTTGACGAAAGGTCAAGGTCATCTGACAACGAGCTCTCCTGTATTATACAATTAGTTTTGTTCAATTCATTATCATATCAGATGAATCATTCATGCCTTCATTCATTGCTACTTTTACTTTAAAAAATGAACATTATTTTCACAATTTACTTTACTGAGAAGTAAACGACTAAAACTTTCAACTTTTCGTTATCACAATCTTTAATTCACAAGATTAAGCACAGCCTAACATTAGACATTTATGTCTATCTCTATCAAAATTATTAAGCTCTAAAAAAAAGTATCTGTACATGCACATGGAAGTCAAAATTAATTAGTCAAAAAATGTTCAGTTGATAAACATTTTGCCCTAAATTTGAAGTACATGTACTATAATTGTTCATATTCAGATATCGTTAAGTGGACCAACTATCAAGTTATCAAGTTATCAGCAATATGTTCATATCATTAGAGAATCAGAAGTAAATCTTGTGTGCAAAACCAAGACTTAAAAAACTTACCATTGAAAGATATCCTAGATCTGTTAATGGTTCTCCTTCAAACAAACTCCTGAAGCAAAGAAAACTAGTGTTAATTGCAACGGGGACCGTTACAGATGTTCCCCAAACGCTCCCCAAATCCTTTTTGTGCCTTATTTCTGTAAGACTTTTTTATTTGCTTAGTATCGAAGAAGTACATTTAAGAATAAAAAAGTTATAATGAAATCAATTATAAATGTCTTTCAACGTTTTGCATGCGCGCGCACGTTCATACATATTCAAGATGATCATGGCATGTTACCTACACGATTAACATATTTCTATATACTTAAAATCAAGAAAAAAATGATACAAATATAAATGTTACCATGTTTTAAGTATAATCATTTTGCGCATGTGTATGCTTGTCCTTGCATTCAATTTTGATAGTAGCATAATGTGGGAATCCATTATACCTATTCATATTCTAAATTTCATCCTGTTTTGTTGAAAACTAAGAAAGTCATAGGCATTCAAAGTTTCGGCCAATCAGATTGCAGCACACCTGCATGCGCGTGCTTTCATGATAATTTTTATATGTCATGCTGTAGATCTTCATAGTGTATGACCATGTTCAAAATTTCAAAGGATCTTGTCGAAAAACAAGAAAGATATTGAGACTTTAGTTTCAGCCAATCAGAGCGAAGCGCACGTGCATGCGCGTGAGATCTTGCTATTTTGATCATGTCATCATGTGTATAATACTATTATGTATTTATATTATGAGTTTCAAAGCATGTAATCAAAAAATAGAAAAGTTACGGCCATATCTATTATATTGGTCATTTTACGTGTTGCACGTGCGCGCTCTTGCAAACACGTGCGCGCAAAATGACCTTGATTCCGCAAATCTACATAACATGTCTACTAACCCTAAAAAGGTTTTACCTACTTCAGGTGAACAGTTTACAAGATCACTCGCGGACAAAAAAGTACCCAGGAAGAAGAAGAAAAATAACTAGTGCTAATTGTAACGGGGACCGTTACAGATGTTCCCCAAACGCTCCCCAACTCCCTTTTGGTGCCATATTCCCTGTAATCTCTATTAGATAAGAAATACTTTATGGAATTTAGACTTAACCAAGGTCTTCCCAGAAAAATACAAAATATATTTAAAAATAGGCATTGCACGCGTGTTCATGTGCATTATGACCATATTATCTTGTCTACAATATCTCAAATTTTAATATACTTAATATTAAAGCATTTAATCCAAAAGTATTAAAAAATTCACTAATTCGAGTGTATTTTTAATTTTACTCATTTAACGTGCACGCACGTGGAAGCACATGCATAGTGACTTCACCTTTTTGTAGAAGTCCCTTATATTTATTTATGTTCTAAATCCCATCCTGTTTGGTTTAAAAACAAGGGAGTTACAGCCATTTGAAGTTTCAGCCAATCAGATTACAGCACACATGCATGCGCGTGATTTCATAAATTTTTATCTTTATCGTATTGAAGAATATCTAAATGAATGACTATATTTTAAAATTCCAAACATTTCGTCAAAAAACAAAGGAGATATAGCCATATAAAGTTTCAGCCAATCAGATTGCAGCACACGTGCATGCGCGTGATTTCATGATTTTTTTCTATATCATATTTTAGGATATCTTAATGCATGACTATGTTTTAAATTTCAAAGCATTTCGTCAAAAAACAAAGGAGATATAGCCATTAAAAGTTTCAGCCAATCAGATTGCAGCACGAGCGCATGCGCATGCTTTCATGAAAATTTTTATATATCATGCTGTAGATCTTTATAATGTAGGACTATGTCCAAAATTTCAAAAGATTATGACAAGAAACAAGAAAGATATTGAGACTTTAGTTTCAGCCAATCAGAGCGAAGCCCACGTGCATGCGCGTGAGATCTTGCTATTTTGACCATGCCATCTTGTCTATACTACTAATGTATCCTTACATTATGAGTTTCCAAAAAATTCATCAAGAAAAAGAAAAGTTACAGCAATATCCATTATATTGGTCATTTCATGTGTTGCACGTGCGCGCTCTTGCAAGCACGTGCGCGCAAAATGACCTTCGTTCGGCAAATCTACATAACATGTCTACTGACCCTAAAAACATTTTACCTTAGTTGGATGTGTAGTTTACAAGATCACTCGTGGACAAAATTTTCCCAGGAAGAAGAAAAATAATAATAATAATAAGAAACAGAGTAAAAACAATATGTTCCCCAACTTCGTTTGGGGAACATAATAAGAAGAAACAGAGTAAAAACAATATGTTCCCCAACTTCGTTTGGGGAACATAATAACAACTATAGGTTCTGTGAGCACTGAGATTATAAAATTCAGAAAATGCCCCTCCTTCATGTATTGAGCTCTGTCAGTAGTCTCCCTTACCTAGGATAATGTGTCAGTAGTCTCCCTTACCTTGGATAATGTGTCAGTAGTCTCCCTTACTTAGGATAGTGTCAGTAGTCTCCCTTACCTAGGATAATGCATGTAGTGAGCACTGTCGGGTTTGTATACAGCAGAGTCCCGATAGAGTACAGGACCTTCAGGAAGGAGATGACCATCATCCTAAAAATTCCATAAAACATTTATGAATTATAAAATAAACAATGAATTTTCATATACGAAAGACAGGATAGGCTTCCAGGAATGTATTTACATTAGCCTATGTTTATTATTTACCTTAATTTCTTTTTTTATATGGATCTTGCCAAAAATACAACTAATTTGAAATTAACAGAACCTATATTTTGCAGTTTTAAAAATAAACCTTTTTGCTGTAGACAACGACTGGAAGGTGTTGATCTTCGTGTCCTATGGTGTGGGACCCTGTTGCTGGACTGGTATCAGCCAATAGAAGAAGAATGGTCAAAACTGAGTCCATCTCGGACAAGTCTACACTGTCATCTGCAGAAAGTAAAATAATTTCAACCACAGGTCCGATTCATATTGATGATTAAATTTGGTTACCATATTGCATTTAACAATGCATCAAATCTACTCAAATCTCAATTTAAAAAACTCTGTTTTTAATAGCAATCAAAACTGAAAAACAAAACTTGAATTTTTATTCACTAACATTCCCTTCCCTTCTGTTTTTTTTTTTTGAGATCACTTAATGAGTTTATGTTGAAATTTCTTTGACAACACATTTATTCATGCAACTAATGTATATAATAATTCTGCAACATGCAATACTACCATTCTGTAGATGTGTAAACAGTTTTTCTAGTTTGTCTGCTTTGTCAAATTGTCTTCCCCTTCTAAGATCATATATGTACTCAAACATCCACAAGTCTGGAGTCATGGAATGGAAGGTTGAAAGTCTGTCACTGGAATATAAAGAGGATTAAATCAAACTGTTAACAATTACAATGATTTCATGTGGTCAGTGTGCATTATATCAAAGTTTCTAATCACACTAACAATTAATTCACATAATACAATCAGTGATTCATTTTGAAAATTGATGGAATGGGTACAGTGTATCCCTCTGTCAGAAAACAATGGGTCAGAACTCAGAATCAATGGGCAGTGTGCGAAACTAACTTCAAAGTCCTATAGACTTTCGGTCCATAGACATTTCATTTTCTATAGACCGCAGCAACTTCCTATGGACCGAAATTTAGAATACTACATTCAATGCTAAAATATTGAAATTAAAATAAACGTATTTGATGTAAAATGGTGAAATAATTACACTTTCCAGTAGTTTTTGTACTGGATAAAAGATTACAACAAGAATCAAAAAACACGGTAAGACGACTGACTACAACAGCATTGATAAACGACTCAAACATTGAGAATGTCTGTCTGATAGACAAGAGTAATAATAATTCCCGGGCGTGCACCCTCAACATACTTTAAACGGTCGAAGAAGGACATGTTTCTTCTGCACTGTTTTGGTGTCCGCGGCCATTAAGTAATCACAACTTAACCTCCCCTCATGTTAAAAATAAAATATTCCGATTCGAATTATTTTTGCATACATCGTGGAACAAACTATTATAACTAAGGGGTGAACGGAATACATCAGTGTAATACAGACGTTTTATTTAAACTGGTCCTCCTTTTTGTGGTTTGTTTATTAGAGACAAGCAGGGAACCAGTTTCTTACTCAGAATTCCTATAGACAAGTCGGTCTATTAATATTTCGATCGGTATAGACCGACTAGATTTTCTACAGACATTGTCTACCGGTCCACCGTTAATTTCGCACACTGATGGGTCAGAATTTTAACAACAACTAAGATTGTGATATCAAGCAGTTTTATCTTTTTCAATTAAGGAAATTTTGATTCTTAGATAACTTGTGCATACTATTAATTTTGTTATTGTCCATACATAATACAGTATATGTATTCACAAGATGAAGATTCGTCTTTCTCTAATCTAAGCCAGGAATAAATTGATAGCCATCTTGATTGAAAATTTCTCTTTACTTTTCTCTTAACTTTTTCTACATCTGAACTCTGAACGTCATGTTGATCATTTTTGTCATTGTTGTTGTTTACATCACTAAAGTCCTTGTTTGGGTAAAAAAAAAACTATTCAATTTACCTTGATTTTGGAGCAGTTTGATTACTTTTTTGACCGGCGTATAGCACGCGTAAATTGTTACGATGCCTACTTTGGTTTTGTATACAATTCTAGGAATAACAGACAATTTCATTGGTTTCCGTTTATTGCAGCCAATTGAAATATTTGTTTTACCCTCGTTGCTATAGCCTTAGTACATAAGTCCTCAAACCGCTTCATGCTTCACCGGATATCGAGTGAAAAAAAAGGTTTTTTTCCCACTGCGTTACGAAGTGGAGTAGGCTATGACGTCATAGCTATCGTTGCTACACACCCTGTTCGGTACCCCTCTAAACGCTATTACAAAAGATGAAAGAGGCAGTTGTTCCGAAAAACAGAATGAGCAATAAAAATAGAAACTGGAAACTTCGATTCTATTTTATATGGGTTATCACTTTGCGTATTCGGGATGCACTGGACAAAAACCAATGGGTATTTAATGAATGTAAAGCGTAAATTACGCAATACGCAGGGCAAAATGAATCACTGATACAAAGTAGATTTTGATGAACTTCATAAATGTAGATACACAGTTTCTGCATAATTTAAAAAAAATTGTGATATATGCTTCAGTTAAATGTTTTACCAATATTTGAGATCTCCCAGATGATATTCAAAGAGGACATCATACAGAGTTCTGAGGGCTTTTCTCTGGGTGGGGAGTGTTGATGTCTTTGGTCGATGTAGGGACACTTTTCTATCTGATACACAGTGAAGCTTACAGAGATGCTTAAACAACTCCGTGATGCTATCCCCACAGCTCTCTGCACTGCTGCTCCAAGCCATAATCCTCAGTTCTCTCTGACGCTGATTTCAAGTTGGTTTATTGCTACATTCTTCAGTTGATCACTATAACCTGGTGAAGAAAATAAGAAATAGTTCGATGATTAGAAGAAATACTGTACACTGACATAAAACCACATAACGAAATAAAAAGATGAAACATTGCCTAAATGCTACCCAGATCAAGTTGAAATTCATAAATTTCAGGTCAGCGAGATGTGCACGATCTTGTTAAAACTTTTCATCGAAAAACGATCGTTACCATCCCGAATATCTGTTTTTAAAACGCATTTGCTTACAAAAGCAGCTGGAAATAATGTCTTTTAACAGAACATTCTCCATTTCTATGGAATCAAATTAACGGTGACCGAAAGCATTTCTTCAAATATTTTATTTTGTTTACCAGAACCCGCTGAAAAAATGGGATTTTAATTTCTGGAACACCGATCTCGAACTTAAAAGTCAGAATTTTTAATTATTCGTATGGAAACTCAATAGTGCAAAGTAAAACAAAATAAAGATGTTAATAATAAAAAAAAATCAATCACAAAATATAAAACGAAATGTAAAATAAAAACGGAAATTACAAAACTTTAAAAAGTAAATATGATAATGAATATAAAACAATTACAAAATAAAACGAATTTACATAATAAATAACCATTATACATGTAGCTCTTTAAAAGACTATATGAAAAATCATAAACCACAATCCAAATTATGAATTCGAAACAAAACAAACATGTTCGTTGGATTTTTGTCTGAAATTAAATATCGGCTGGGGGGGGGGGGGGGTTCTGATTTTTTAAAAATTGCAATTCATAACGTTACAGATAATATATGTAACAAGATTTTTTTTTAAATAATGAAGGAGAGTGTTTAAACATTTTTTTCCCATTCATTTCTCTACTAAATGGAAAATACTATTTTACTATTCTCCCTTCCCCTCTCTCTCTCTCTCTCTCATAAATCTATTCATGAAAATTGACTTAGAGGTACATGTATGCGACAGAATGTTTATAGTTCTCAGTTATGCAGAATAAGTATTTTAGTATCAGTTATATTTTTGGTTTTTTAGGCTGTAATAAACGTATACTTTATTAAAGAGTCATCGAAATTTTTAAAAATGGAAGAACCTTTCGGGTAAAGGTAGGGGGAGGGATCCACATGCACCTAGCTCTGGTTTTACCCTGGAATTCTAACAACACAGCACATTCAACTTTTTACAATGGTCAAGTTGATGCTTTTGAAGCTTAACTTCGGAATAGTGTACTATTGAGGTCAGCTGGGTCAATCAGTCACAGTACAGGAGCAGGTAACAAACGGGGTACACGTAACTATTCAGTGATCGGGATTTCATCCATGTTATTGCGTCACGTGACGTCACTTATACACGCGATCTAACGAGCTGCCGAGTAATATCAAATAATACACGAGGTCGTTACCTCGTTTTGATGACTTCACTTACAAACCCAATCATTCACTGGTTAATTAAGCAATCCGATTCCAACCAATCAGAATTGTTTCTCTGTGACCAAAAAGTTAAACGAGGAAGGTATATATAAAGCCAACTTTGGGATGAAATAACATCAGTTTACTCAGAAATACATCTAAGATGAAGGTAACGTGTTTTTCATCTTGTTTAGATTTATATAAATGAATGTTATTTCTTAAGGTCCAGAAATGACATTGAAAAGGAGCATGAGATGCAGATTAATGTGTTTCATATTTAACTTACTCATATAGACTAATTCAGTTTTCGAAAATTCCATTTACTGTTCTCGAGAAAATAAAAGGATAAGGGATTATTATATTTGTATATATACTAAGAAGATTTATTTAGGAATTAATGATTAAAATAATTTTCATGCAATTTGACATGATGATTTTCTTTATTAACCATATAAATGTATTTTGCTATGATAAATGTAGTTCTTAACTGTTGTATTCTCTTCAATTTAGGCTGCATACATTCTGTCGTTATTTGCTACACTATGTGTTGTCAGGGGACAGCAGTATTTCTCCGGTGGCCTGATATCCGCCCCGTACAATAGCTTTGAATCGGTAGGAAATTACATGGGCGGATCAAGATTTGGACAAGGATGGATGGGATCAATAAATAATATCCTCTCCGAAGTTGTGTCCGGATTTGGAGCACCCCAAACTTTCATCGGAAGCGGTTTCGGACAAAGTATATCGGGCGGCTTCGGTGAGGTTATTCCCATTGTTTCCGGAGGATTTGGAGGAATCAGTGCAGGTCCAGGAATAACCGGTTTAAGTGGAATATCTGGTTTGGGAGGACTCGGTGAAATAGGAGGAATAAGCGGAAGATTCACATTTGGGGAGGGGATCGAGGGAGGGAGATTTCCGCCTGGGTCATTCATTGGACCAGCCCCAGACTTTTTATCAGCTGATAACTCTAATGATGTAATTTCTCGAGGGGATGTTTCGGGTTCATGGGGGCGTGGTGATATGATTGATCCTGGATTTTCACGAGGCAGATCTGGCTCCTGGGGACAGACCGTGGATCCCGGATTCTCTTTTGGATCCTCCAACTCTTGGGGTGGAAGCGGTGGAATGAACTCCGGATTTTCTCTAGGGTCCTCAAATTCATGGTCCCAAGGAGGCATTGCATCTTCGCCCATCTATTAAATAATTTATAAATGACTTATGATATCCAGTTGTTTATTGAAATTGTCAGAGTTCCTTTTCGGAACTCCTACATTTTGTTGTTGTATTTTTAACTTATTGTTATAGAAAATAAATCTGATAATAAAACTTTTAATACCATTTTTGATTAAAGTCTACTCTTTTCTCTTTCGCTATCGTATCTTACTGTGATTTTGAATTCTGAGAAATAATATATATTTTTATCTCAGGGAAAAGTTTTTATTCCATTATTAAAATCATTTTTTCGTGTTGATAATATAACAATGCACAATACTAGTAATTCCCAAATTTCGCGTGAAAGATGTACATATATATATAGTTCCCGGTAGAACATTTGAAAACACTATATATCTGCTATCTGAACAAAGACGACCCGTATAGAGAAATTGGCATCTTCGATTTAAAAATAAGTTATTGCAGCTTATAAAAAGAAAATATATATTTTTTTTTATTTTAATAAATTTATTTGCCAAGTCTTTTATGAAGTCTTTTATCTAGTATAACATCCATATATAGGAAGTAGATATACCAGACTCTTTCGTGTTTACTGGGATATGCATGTATTGTGTTAAGTCTACATATAAATAAAAATAACATGTACATGTTTATTAATCTAAATGTCGTATTGAAGATCACAGAAAACCTTTCCTCCCTTTTAGGTTAAAGCTTTTGATAGAATGATATGTTGAACGACCTGGTCTCCAAAGCAATAGGCTTACTTCTTTATTAACCGATCTCTTTTTTGGCGTTCTGGATTCAAATTTTATTAAATTTTTAAATCAGAATGTTTTAATAAACTGTGATTGTAGATGACTAATGAACAAGGCAAGGAACTTCCAGCTAGTTTTTGAAATACAGTATACATTAAGAAATCGTACACTATAGTACACAATTTACAAAGCAATAGGCGAACTATCTATCATTCTGTTTTCTCTAAATCGGAGGAGATACAAGAATGAGAAAGACTACATGAACGATATGTTATGGTTTCAGCAGACAAGGTTCATAACATTATCGTCTTTGTAAGGCCCATTCTAAAATTAGTAAGTGTATTTTATAAGATCTTGGTTTTAATTATACATTTGGAAATCAAACCGTGATCCAGTTCACGTTCTAAAGACGAAATACTTCAAAATCATTATTCTGTGTTTTAACTTTCCAGTCAACCAAAGCAAGTTCTATCTAATCCTAAAATTCTTCAAAACGAAGATAATTGCATGGTCCAGCAAATGCACTCCCAAGCCCAAATCTTTACCTCGTCCACAAATATTAACTGTTGTAAAGGAAAAAGTCAAGACGCATTGTCCTAAAGCATTTTGCAGATTTAATGTAAATCAAATGTTTCATATTTAGATATTTTACATTGAAAAGACGTTCATGGTAATCTAACAACCAAGCTTTATGATAAATGTGATGACAAACTTTTCAATCTTCAACATCCCTTACTTATGCAGCAATATACCTTCATCATCTGCATACGGGGTTGATTCGACACGCGAAAGCATGCTCTACGTATGAACAATTTCTAAAATGAGGTAAATTATTCACAAACAATTTGCTGAAATAAGAATATCAGCAGCCTCGTTTAAAGTCATCATTTCGTAAGTTCTATATCAAATGCTGACTTTTTTCGTACTGATTGTTAAGCCATTGTATAAATAATGATTTATCGACGGATTTTTCCGTTATTTCTCGATCATGACAAGGAGCACACAACGGGGTGAAAAATGTTGAAATATACATTACAAAATAGGAGTGGATCAAACACGGACCTCCAAAACATCAGAGGTGGGATCAGGTGCCATGGAGGAGTGAGCATCCTCTGCTGATCGATCACACCCGCCGTGAGCTCATTGTCATGTTCGGGAAATAACGAAGATACTAACTCCTCCATGGAACCAGATTCCACCTCTGATATTTTTTAGATCTGTGTTTGCTGTGCTCCAATTTTGTATACTATTATTGGACCTTTGAGCTTGACTACTGTTCTTTTTCTCCATATATTTCGTGTGGATTCTCAAAAACTTTATAAATTTTTTAGAAAAATTAGAATCTCATTTTCCCCCAAAAGTAAGTAATATGAAACATACGAATTTTCTACACTTTAAACAACCACCGATCCCTTTCGATAAATGAAAAAAAAACGCGGCTTCTCGATATCAAACACAGTTGCTTTTTCAATAAAAGCGGTAGTTGTGTGATTAGACAACAAAATTACTTTGTAAAAATTGTTCTGATTCTACAATACATTGAACATGAATGCACAGGGCTCGGGGCGGGTGTGAGTGATCAACAAGGGATTCTAACTCCTTCTAGGTACCTGATCCCACCTCTGGAATTTCCAAGGGACCCTGTTCACAGATATGTATTATTTACAGATCTTTTTTTTCGCTGTTTATTATATTCAACTTCTTGATTGTCTATGATATATAATATGATAATGGCAATATAAAACATTGCAGTCGTACGTTTTACTGATGTTGATTTTGAAAAAAAGTATTCTGCATTTATTTTTTTAAATTTCTTTGGATAAATTGAGAATCCACAACTTATTTTTACCAACCTTTACATATCTTTTTAAAAAAAGCATTATTGAGGTACCTCGTTCATAGTGCACAGTGAATAGATTCTAATTGTGAATTGTAAATGTAGAAAATTACTGGTCCTTGTAGCTTTGAGAGAATCTAGTACTCATTATCCACTTTCTCATCATAAACGAGCCCTGTTAAAATGTTATAAAGACTCAGCTTAGGGTCTTTTTGAATTGAACAATTTTGTAATTACTAATTAAAAAGAATGAAGGTAAGACATAGGCGTCGGAAGCAAATTGAAAGGGGGGGGGGGAGGGGGCTAAACCAACAAAAAAAGGTAAACCCCAATTTTCAATGCCTATATTATGTCTATCTTTGCGGTTCCGACGCCTATGTAAGCGTATGGAGGATTAAGTATTCCCTGATGTTCGTGCCACAACCCGTGAGCCTTTTTTCCTTTAAGATCAAGTTAACAGAGCTGTCCGTTGACAAATCAGTAAGAATTTTTTTTGACCTAACAATTTGTATAGAAGTCGTCGGTCAACATTTAATATAACGACAGATTGTAATGAAATTTTGCAAACAAGTTCCCTGTATTGGTAATAGAATACGCGAAATGTTGACTTTAAACGAGATCGTTGATACCTCTGAAAATCAACCAAATCATAATTAGTCTGCTTTGGATGATGGATATGGAGATAACGAACAGTATTCAATATCAAAGTCCATAAAATATATATCTTCATTGAAGGTATATTGCTGCATAAGTAAGGGAAGTTGATGATAGAAAAGTTAAAGTCATCACGTTTATCATAGAGTTTGGTTGTTAGATTAACATTAACGTCTTTTTCAAGTAAAATATCTAAGTATGAACCAGATGTGTCAGACTCTGTGGTATCTTTTATCTAAATTAAGCTCACCAGGATATATATTGTATCGACATAGGAATGGAAATCACCATTGTTAATTGACAATATGTCGTATATTTAAATGTTGAGTTCAAGGCCACAGCAAGTGTTTTCTTCTTTTCACGCATAAGATTTTGCACAAATTCTGCTTCATATGAATACAAAACTAGGTCTGCTAATAACGGAGCGCATGGTACCCATGGGAATTTCAATAGATTGTTGGAAGACCTTAATTGTTTCCAAAAACGACATAGATATTGTCAATTAGAAACTCAAGCATCTTATTGATGTCAACTTCAGAGTACATGTACTTGTGTGTGCAACCAGAATGTGTTTTCACAAAAGTATTTTCCAAATGACCAAGTAAGTAAATTTACGAGTTCCATTCAGATATGTTTATTGAAAAAGCAGCTGTCAATGATATCAAGAAGCCTACCTGGACTTTAATTTATCGTGGGGAATGGTTGTGTATAAAGTTGAAAAGTCGTAAGTTTTTAAGCTGTTGATTTTGGTAAAAGTTTGTGATTTCAAATTGTCCAAAAGTTCTTTGGAATTTTTGAGTATCCAAATCTGATTCACACCACTTCTTGAATATATTGTTGCACAGTACTCTTGAAGTTTTTCCTTTACTACTGTCAATATCTTAGTGAGGAGTAAAGAAAGAGACTTGGTTGAACATTCACTGGAACCCACAATGTATCTTTGTTTGTAAGGATTTTTATGAAGTTTTGGAATCCAATATATATATATATATATATATATATATATATATATATATATATATATATATATATATATATATATATATATATATATATATATATATATATATGGTAGTTCAAAATCATTTTGATTTTTCGGGATATTAAAAATATTCAAAACAGACATATGATTTTGAAGAATTTCTTCCTTAGAAATTGAACTATGAGTATAAGTTGGATTACTACTGGTAGAATTAAATCAAAGTTCTTCTAAAATACAAGTTATATAATGAGCTTTACAAACGAAGACAATGTTGTTACCTGCTTTGTCAGCAGGGACCAGTACGTACTGATGTAATGGTTGATTCATTGTTTGTATGCAGAACATTCTTTAAGTATCTTTATATATTTTTTATATATGGAAGATAAGGATCAACGAGATCGTTGATACCTCTGAAAATCAACCAATCATAATAAGTCTGCTTTGGTTGATTCATTGTTTGTATGCAGAACATACTACCCAGCAGGCACACAACATTGAATAAACTTTGAATCAACGTTGTTTTTCTATGTTGATTCAACATTGATTTTATGTTAGATTTTGAAAATTTGTATCAACGTTGAAGTCTTAACATTGAATCAACATTGACAATCAACGTTGATTATATGTTGAAAAACAGTTGATTCAACATTTATTCAATTATTTATTTTGGAAAGGGGAGTGTCATATAGTAATAATATACTTACTTAAAATTTCAACCGTTTTATTGCACGATTGCTAAGATATAGTATTTTATAGATATCTTTATATATTCATTATATATGGAAAATATAAACACCGTCTACTGATTTTAAAGGTACATGCTATACTGCTATATGTACCGGTACACAAAAAAGGAACGTTGACCTTTGAAAAGTTAAAGTCATTAGGTTTCAGGTTCACCACCATAAGATTAACATGTTATATATACTTCGTTAACAATGTCTTTCTGAAACAAAACAACGAATTGTATGAAACAGATATTTCACTCTAGATCACTTTTCATATACTTTTAGGAAGAAAAACCAGGTTTTCACATCTACATGTATATGAAGGATTTCATAAACATTATCCAAATTGAAGAATCTTGTGTTTGTATGTTTGTTTAATGTCCCTTTTGGGAACTTCTTACTTAAATTGACTTGTCACCACTTGCCGATAGCTAGAGGCCTGCGATATTAGACTAATCGGAATGAAAAAATACAAGTAACTAAATTTAAGATGTTGATCTTCTTTATTGTAAAACTTGTTTATCGGACAAAAACAAATCATACTTGTAGTAGCATTGGATGCATTGCAAACAAAATATCTGATATATAGTCAAGAAAACAATATGGCACAGAAATTCACAGCACAATAATGGAAAAAAAATTAGGATTTACTCTCTCTCTCTCTCTCTCTCTCTCTCTCTCTCTGTTTTGATTAATGATCTCGTCACCGGTACATATTCATCCGTGGCCACTGCAGAACAAACAGGGCCTGAATCAATTTTAATTAAGAACAGTAAACAATAATACAAGCTAATTAATTTCCTTCTTTCATAAATTCATATGCATTCATAAAGACTCCCCCTCCCACTCTCTTTTTATAATTGATAGTATTTCACCGGGTTAGTTTGTCACAACACTTGTTTACATAAGCCTCAATTATATTTTCTCTTTTCTGTTGTGAGTTGTATAACTGTGTAAAAAAGCATAAGCCTCACTAATTAAAATAGCAATGCAGTTATATATGTACAAAATCACCGGTACATATTCATCCCAATCCAGATCTACAGAGAATTCTGTTCAATGAATTGAAGGCACATAAAGATAAAACAAGCATCATCTACTCTACAGATATTCTAATTCATATTCATCGTCGCTGCTATGAAGCAACCATAACACATGAACACACACGCACACCAAGTACTCTTTATCAGGTATTCCATACCAAACACTCCCGACAATCTAGTGTCTAGATTTAGCATCAAATACCCTAGAATTTCTTAGCATACATTAATGACATACATACTAGGAAACCACAGAGGTTCCAAACACAAAAATCACCGGCTAGTTCACCCTTATGTGCTGCTTAAATATAATATTCAGTGGCGCACACACCTGAGAATGCAACTCAAAAAAGAATAAGCAGGTTACATTATATTATAGCACTGCTCTGCTACGCAGTAATATGTTATACATATATACATGTCTTAATATGGCACAAGAAGACACGGAGTACTAAAAAAGTACTAAATGTAAGTAATGGAGTCCCATAACAAATAATACAATATTATGCAGTATTTCAAAACTCAGCATCTAAATGCAGAAATGTTCGAAACATTTCTTTTGCACCCTTAATGCATACAACAGTCTGCTCTCTCATTCGAACACACTCCCTTTCAGCATTCTTTTTACCACATGCTGTCAAATCTTTTTCTCACTATCAGTCTGTTCACTTAATATTCTATCGACATGTAAGCATTGACACCAGAGAACATAACTCAGCGCTCATTCTCTCATTATCAGTTACACAAATAAAGCATCAAATTCTTATTTCACCGGGATGATACATCATCCGACTTGGCACCAAAGTGCACGTTACTGACTTAATAAAATATAGACATAGTAAACTAAAACTAAACACACCAGTATAAATCAACAGATCGTTCAGATCAAACTGCTGACAGGAACTTCTCAAATTCTCTGAGAGTTCCTCCTCTTCTTCTCTCTCCATGATTTGCTTTTTATCCTTTTTCTTCGTTCAAATTCGGCATGGACTGGCTCGATCAATCAGACGATGTAAAACTTTCTCTCTAACTTTGCAGCCTTGTCTTCTCTTCGTTTTCAGAGGTCCACTCAGTCTAAAGCGGTCTTTAACTTTCGTCATTCTCTCTCTCTTTTTTTTTGCTGAAGTAATCTAGATGGTAAACGACTCTCGCTGCTTGTTGTATGAATCACCGTTACGGGGACCAGCGCCTTTAAAAACAAGACAATTAATTATCATTGGAGAAAGGTGATAATAAGTTTTCTGTTGAAATAGCAATTAAAAGCTATTTCAAGTAAAAATGTTTTCTTTTCATATTTTTCATACATTAAAAAAATGAAATCAATGAACATAATAAAAAAAGGGCCCTAATTATTTTCCTCTGAAAATGTGTTTGGCCTAGTTTATCTGTCAGTGCATGCCTTAACCATTGATTTTTTTTCTCTGAATGTGAGGATAAACACAGAAGAGGGCAATGACCTTTCCCTCCCTCTGCCTTAAAGTACACATAATATGCCTACGTCACTGGCCAATGTCCTATCCGCTTTTTTAGTTCTTATTTGGTGTGCTGTAGAAGAATTTTTGTTTTAAGCTGATGTATGAATTAAAGGATGTGCTTAATTAAATTTCATATCTAATTCACTCCCCTGTTTAGGAGAAGTACTACATTCTATATTTGTAAGTTTTCTCTACGTTTTTGTTTATATAAGCGAAACATAACTGTATACATTTATATAAATGTTCCTGAGGGGGTAATATTTTATTAAAGACATAGTTATATTCTATTGAGTTTTTTGATTGCTTCATGGAATTAGATAGATTTATTTGACACTCATTCAACTTACCAATATTTTAAAATACAATCTAAATGATTCAATTTCAACTACAGGGAAAAGGAATTAAACTTGATATTACTTACCCCCATCCCACCCCACTCCACAAAATCAGTTTCTTGAACTATCAAACTTTTACTACATGTATAAACAATTTAGCATATCTGCGAAAAATTAACCAGTATTTTAACTTAAAATTTCATGGTTCAATTTCAACCAAAGGGAAAATTAAACGTGATATTAATCCCCTTCCCCTTAAAATAAATTTCTTGAACTATCAAAACTTTTTTTATACACAATATGGCACATCTGCGGAAAATTCATTTGAATTTTCTTGAGTATTCGTTAGTCCTTGTTTCAAGAAGATTAGATAACTTGAAAGAAGAAGCATTAGAATATTTATTGTACGCTTTGAACATTTTTTTCCTGTTATAATTTCTTTAATTGTAAGAAAAAATCAAGAGAAGTCGAAATTAGGTCAAAAGAGTGGGGTGTGAACGCTATCAGCTATTGCAAGAGCAATCATAAATACATCAGTTGTATGACGTATATCTATTATGGACTGACCATTGGTCAGTATTCATTTACCAGGTATTGGTTATCCAGCTATTCTTAGCGGTCAACTAATGTCTGCTGATAACCAGTTGTCCCCCAGTTATCAAAAGGGATTCTGGCGTTCAGAGTGAATTATAGGAAAACATCTCTACACTTTTAGCTGAATTAAGAATTTATTTGAAGTAAATCGAAGTGTTTTGATCTAAAGTATCTTCAAATGAGTAAAAATGCGAAAAAGCAAAAAAGATATTCAATATGGCTGCCTTCCATAATCACGTACTAACCTTGCTGACAGCGCATTATAATATAAGATCATAACATATATGTAAATTAATATGAAAAAATACAAGAAACCTACCTGGTAAGGGTGCTGGTCCCCGTTTTAACTTCTTATAATTCTGACCTAGTGAGGAGATTTGTTCTCCTAACCCAAATTTTGCATCTTATATACACCAAAATGGGGGCATTTAAGGTGAATGATCGAAGGCTAACGATTGGTGGAAACTAGGGCAGTGTGTTTGCATGACATAAAGTCTAGGGCTGAATGACCCGACCTCAACAATCTGAATATGTAATGTTGCGTAGATTGAAAAAATGCAAGATGGCTGACTGGGTCAACGCCCTCCATTCGCTGCGAACATTGAACCGCGCGTAAATCAATTTTAAGCTCGAATAATTTCTCCAGAAGACAGTGGATAAATTGAAGACAAACTTTTAATGATTATTTCGAGAATGGATAATCACATGTATCTTTTAAAAGTTAAGTATAAGAAAATATAATAATTAAAACATATGCAGCATGATGCAGTGATCATCATCATCATCATCATTACTTTGGTACCATGTCAACAGACTTAAGCAATTCATTTAATCATTTGAAAGAAATATCTAGAAGCTTCCATATTTTATAATTTAGTATTATAAAATACATAATTATATCTGTGATTAATTTGAGAATATGAAATCACTGGCATTCTTTTGTTAAGACAAGTGTCTGTTTTTTTTTATCTCTATAATAAAATTTGAAACACAAAACAAATCTGCTGGTTTTTTTAATTGTATGTAGTTGTAGCATAACAAGTGTAAACACAGTAAGCCATCACCGTAAAAATTCAAAGTAATGAAATTAATCTTGAACCCTCATACATGTATATTTTTGTAAAGAATGTGATACATATGTCAAATTATGTTTCCCACTCATCACGAAATATGCCATTAACTGCCATTAATTGAATAAAATATTATTTTTAAAAATATCCATAATTAGTATCCTTTCTGTGTAATGCATTTTTATCAAATGCCGAAAATGAGACATTCAACAGCAAGTTTTGATCAATCATATTAATTGAGATGTACATGTATATACGTCCCTGATATTAACGAAATAATAAGCAAAAGGATTGTTGTTTGAAAGTATGCAAATACTTAGTACCTTAAATAGAAAAGGGAAACATAAAAAAACTAAATATTATTTCAATGGTGACCAAGCATTCAATTTCAACAGATGAATAATAGGTTATCACATAGCATCGTTCTTTAAAAAATAATTTTGTAGACGTTCTCCACCGATCGGAGGTCATTGGCTCTGAGGACATGCTATATGCTCTCGCTGTAGGTACACCATGAACGCTTATTTTAACATGAAACCCACACCAATGCGATAAGTATTTTTATTTCGGTGTACATTTCTGAAACTTAAAAATAAAAAAAAACAATGGAAGAAAAATTCCTCGAGCAAGGCTTGTAAAAGATAAATGCCAAGTCAATAATGTATGATATACATATATTTTGATATAAAAAAATTCGATGAATGATCAGTTTTCATTTATTAATACATCACCTAGCAAATTCCTCGAGCAAAGCATGTTAAAGATAAATACGAAGTCAATAACATATCATATACATTATAGTTTGATATAAAGAATTTCAATAAATAATCAGTTTTTTATTATAATACTTATCTCATCAAAATCTTGAGAAAAAAACTCAAACAATATTCATTTTGTTAGATGTTTATCGCAAGGCTTCTAAAAACGCCCACATATGCTAACATAAATCAAGCAAACATTTTACTTTTTTCATAAATCAAGCACAGAAATTATATGCATTAAGAAAGAAATGCAAAAAGGTTAAAAAAAATAAGGTGTTTATTCAACAATCATGAATTTCATTTGCCAAATGTATTTTAATGTAAAACTCCGAGGTATGATTAGGAACAGACTCAGAACATTGACCCCACATCCACACATAAATAATGAATAAACAGGGGTTTTTCCATACACATATCAATTACAATACAGGCGAGTTATAACTAAATGGATATTTTTCTTGGTTTTTAATACATAATTTAAATCAAATGTTGCCATTTCAGGATTTTATAATTCCGAAATATAAAACAAACTTTGATAAGATTGTTAAAGTAAGGCTTATAGGATTTTAAGAATCTCTATCTTTTATGATAGTTTGAATGTTCAGTAATATTGACTGTGTTTGATATTAATATATGGTAAAATTTTTATTCAGTTAATGTAAATATTTTTTTTTCCGGCATAGTTGAGAGTTATCGATATTTGCATTATCAATGATCAACAGCAATGTAGCTGGCTCTTGGTCTATATATATCTTAATGGTCTATATTTATTTTAATCAATAGATGATTGTATTAAGGCACCTCTAGGCGGTCAGTGAACCCAGTCTAACAGCTCCCATGCATGTACTCCATACTTAGGACGTTAATGCGCTTCCATTTACTATGGGTGGGTCATTGTCCTCTTTAGTAGCAATCTTTTATTCCTTTATCTGCACTCTCTAGATCAATTTAGATCCTTTCTACAAGTTTATCGACAACCTATTATATCACTTAAAAAAATTAATTCTCGTTTAGTTTAAAGTAATCATTTTGTAAATTCTACTGTAGATACAATGACCGTATCAGCAAATACAATTTATCATTGAGTCAAATACTGATTTCATGAGGTTTTTCATAATAATGGTCAGGCCATTGTTTACACATAAAATTTGATAACAGATTTTCCCGTTATCTCCCGATCATGACAAGGAGCGCACGGCGGGGGTAACCGGTCGGCAAGGGATGCTCACTCCTCCATGGCACCTGATCATTTAGGAGGTTTGCTCTGGATCTATTTTGTATTGTTTAATGGACTTTTGAGCATTAATACTGTCTCTTTTTCTCCATATGTGTCATTACTTCCATTCGTATGCCGACTCCCACCCATAGAGTCTGGCACATCTGTTTTATATTTAAATATTTTACCAGAAGCCGTTAATGGTGATCTTAAAACAAATTAACTTTATGATGACCGTTATGACTTCAATTTTTTCTACCGTCAATTTTCATAACTTAGGTAGCAATATATCCTAGTCACCTTCATATGAGTATCGTGTCTCCCAGTTGATTCTATACTTAAGAGGATGCTTTAGGGACAACAATGACAGCTTTTGACAAACAATTGCAAGTTGATGAATCAAGGATACCCCGTTTAATTTAAAGCCATCACAGTTCCCAAGTTTGTCGATAACGTGATCTTGTCAGCAACTACAATCAAACGTGAAATTGTTAGACCATTGGACTTTTGCGAGATGCGCTGACTTTTACAATCGACGATTTACTTTTACACTGGGACAATGTACGGTCGTTCAAAACACATATTACGTTGTTTTGTTTTGTTTGAAAGGAAATTTGATACTAAACCCATCTCTTCCCACCTTGACCAACCCCTGCTAAGTTATCCTCCCCTAACACCTTACTTATGACCGCTAGTAAGGTTTTCTAATTAATCATCAATTCCGTATCTCCGTACGTAATTCATGTTTAAAATGTCAAACTAAGCTGTGCTCATTGTCATGTTCGGGAAATAACGGAAAAATCCGTGTCTTCTGCATGTATAAGGACTAACAATTATTTACACACTGGTTTCTTTACAGATTTTCCCTTTTGTCCGATAATGGCAAGGAGCACTCGGCGGTAGTAAAATTCAGCACCCTGACATATGACCCCAATACTGATGTTTTAAAACTCCCGATTTTGTGTTGTTTGAAAGGACTTTTGAGATTGAATACTGTATATTTCATTTCATCTTACAAAAGATAAGGCAATATTTAAGGAATGAAGGTTATTTCAACTTATGTTATACGATATAAAAATTTTAAGGCATTTACGGTTTTTTATAAACCGCTGGTTGAAATAACTTTCATTCCTTTATAATTTAATTTCAATGTAGACAATGTGACAATTTTTATTTTTTTCCTTCAAAAACTATGACATAATTTTCAAATTTTAAAGGTTAACGTCAAGTGGAGTAATACGTTCTTGACTAACTCATTGTGACGTAGGCAAGTTATGTTTACAAAATGGATAAAACCGTTTAACCAATCAAATGACGTGTTACAACTGAAATTAAATTATTCAGAAATACTTTGCACAACATATCATTATACACAAAAACAAAACAAAAACTGTAAAAACTGTAAAAACAGGGACATAACTGTTTACAGAAATAATCTTAGGTTTTGGCGCCTTTTTCAGCGGCTTTCACGTTAAACAAAAGCGAAACTTTAAAGTAATAAGTCCTGATGTATGTCAATAGGCTTTCCATAATGTTTGTCTTATCAACATACAAAATAAATGGTCCCTGATGCACATTTTGAAGCTAATATTTGCAGAGATGTATAGAGAGAATTCATTCTTGTTCTTATCCTTGAGAACTGCTACAGGGTCCATATTTTTGTTATTGCAGTATACCTGAGTAATTTTGTTTCTACAGAAACCATTGTAGAAGGAGAGAAAGAGAATTTAAAGAAGTAAAAATATACATGTATAAGTGATGAGAGAACAAGAAATAGATTAATGTTTAAGTGGAAAAAAGTTTCATGTTTTTTACATAGTTTTGTATACTTTTTATAAAAGACTTTAACTTTTTTGAAAATAAAGTTTAGTATTCCTTTTCCGCAGGTTACATATATAGCTACTTTCACACGTGCATCAATGAAATACTTCATGCATGTTGTTTTAAAAAATTTAATAAATATTATCAAGAGCGCAAATGGCATCTCTTAGGACTTACTAAAAAACCTCGGTTTTGAGTCATATAAAAGCTGCATAATATTGTGTTTTACCGAAGATTAATTAGTACGCTGTTCTGTTTACTATGAGTTTAGGTCATTTGAGTCAAGGAAAGTATAGATATACACAGAGAGAATAATGTATCCTGTATCATCAGTAGAAGACTCGAGGTCTGATATGATGCTAGTTGTGAATTGGAAAACAGGTTATTACATGTATAATTATTGTAATCACAAATTATAAACATCATCATTTGGATCTCGCGATTTCCTTTCAATGAAACACACTGACCAAGGGATTTAATTCTTGAGAAATAAAAATTGTAGAGGAAAAATGTTTAACATGAGAATAAATTTGAAATTTTATGTATATGGCATTTGATCTCTATATAATTCACTTTCAAATAAATCAATTCAATAGGCAACTTATCCCATCGCTTGAATTTCCTGGTGTTCGTTTTAATGCCCCAGTTCACCGGTTTGTTTTATTTGTAGCCTTTGCTGAGAATATTTTCATCTTTTTATAATTCCCTTATTTCTTAGACCCAGTGTTGGACCTTTCGTATTTTTAAACTATACTAAAAAGATACCCTGCTTTTAATATAAAAAATAAAATACCATTTCAACAATAACAATACACTTTAGAAAAAATCCATATTTTTGTTTTTCTCAGCAGAACTTCATTCATTGTAGAAGATGGTGATTGCTTAATTTAAGTTTAATGTCATAAAGATAATATCAAGTTTTATGATAGAGATAGACAAACATTAAATTTAGATGAATTAAAATAATTTATTTTGTTTGGTATAACATAACAATTTTTGCATTAAATAACCATAGAATGTTGCAGAATATTGTCAGTGAAAAAAGAGAAAGTGAAAGACCAGGAAGGTATAATAGAATTACACCAAAACATTCAGAATGTTTAAATTTCAGCAGAGTTTGTAAAACCAACAAGGGAAAATTCTGGTTGATCATAAATACATGCCTCTTTTGTGTCACTAAGCACAACAGGTCGGCGTAACAACTCTTTGCTTGGGTTTAATTGTTCCGTGACGAGTTGTCTCTCATTGCACACATGATCAGCACCAGCTCGTGTTTCCTGTGCCTGTTTGGCTGAGATAGGAGTTTCACAGTTACATTTCTTTGCACATTCTCCTATTTCTTCTCCATATCGTGACGGTACACTGACTGGAGAACAATTTGCATGGCAGTTCCCCATATTACAGAATCCATGAATGCACCTTTGTAAGACGTTTTCCTCCTGGAGGAATTGACTGACAGGCGGATTACGTCGTCTGTGATTTTCTACAGCCATTAATAGTTGTCTGAGCGGCTCCAAATACTCAAAACCGTCTGAGCCGCTAGTTCCTGATTCGGTCTGGGTCATGGAGGATTGTTCCGTCTTTTCCTCTTTCACTGAATCATTTCGGTTAAGAGTTTCGTAAATATGATCCTGAACACCAGAGTCTGATGGCTGGTCTGAGGTTTGGCATTCGTTATCACACATAGATGGAATGTGATTGAAATCATGAGTGACTTGAGTCACACTGTCATTTTCTAATATATTTTCATTAGTTTTGCTGACCCCTGAAATTTCATGATGAACACGATTGTTTGGAGCGTCTGTGTTGTCACCCATGAAAACCCACGAAGTCACACGTTCACTGTTCAAATTTTTTATATTTGTTTTCTTTTTTACAGGATATGGATTTTGTAAGGATATATTTCTTGGAGGAATTTGCAAATTGTTTTGCTGTTTTAGATTTTGTGGCACATTTGCGCTTGTTATTTGAGACACTCTTTCGGGTATTAAACAGGGGACATCTGGCCCTTCACCCGGTGATTTCTGTCCATCACTGCTCACTCCACTGTCGTTAGACTCATTGCTGTCTGTCTTAACACATACACATTTGCTATCTTCCGCACTTACACTGAATTTAACTTTGTTTGTTAAAGCATCGCTTGCTTTTCTCTCTACGTGATTGTGGAAGTGATTTTTGAGATTATGTTTTTCGAAATTTTTAATCTTGGAATGCATGGACTGGGAATATTTGCTTTTGATTTCATTGAATACGTCGGAAGACGCCATGCTGAACTCGTCATCGGAAGGATATTCATAGGAAATCCTCCTGTTCCTGACGTCACCATTTTCAACATCCACAACGAGGTTATGTTTGTACAATGAGTCCATCTAAAGCAGACGACAATTTAATTTGAAGAAAGTTTAAATTTAAGAATTTATATGTAGGTAATATGTTAAAATACAAAATTGTTAATTGATTAATTAATGGAAAGTTACATACACGAGTTTAAATCGGAGATACATGCAATTGACCTTCACTTACCTGACTCGGGATTGATGGGTGTTTATGTATAGATTTTGAGCGGCACTGTCTGACGATTGCTATGATTGTTGCAATGATGACAATAGAAGTCGGCAATGTGATAAGTACTATTACTAGAGGTTGAAAGATCTCTTCCCATCCACCAGGGTTAGGTGGTGATGTTGATCCAGCGTTCCAACGCGAAACAGAAACTATAACCTAAAATAAAGTGACTGAATAATATCTTTGACAACAATATGACAGTAGACATAAACAAAGTATTTTGTTTAACGATATGGAAAATTCAAGTCATGGTCTTTCATTTATTTATTATACATTTTTATCCTTACCGGATAGCCCAATATGGCACTCATTTCGACGTCTGATACTTTCTGAAACGTCAATTCTGCCAATGAAGCATGTACGACAATTCCATTATACATAACGAGAAAAATTATTTTCACTCGTTCTCCGAACTTGCGATCGATCTCTCTGACCTGCAAAAGAAATTAAAAAAAAAATGTATGATCATACTTTGTCCAATATTTTTATACCATTCACTTAAAGGAGGGACTTCCAACTTTCCAAAAAAAATGTACTAGTACCTTTACTGAAATTCCCGTATCTTGTACTTGACGTGTAGAATGTCTTATTGAATTTCTCTTTCTCCGACCGTGCAAACCTTCTATATAAACAGTAGTGAGGTCTGAAAATCGAAAATAACAGCGAAAGTTGGGCGTGTGCATGAATAAATAAGCAATATAAAAATTGCAAAAAAAATTCAGTTAAAGACGGCACAAACCTTCTTCTAAATTGGATTTAAAGTCATCATTAGAAATATCTATTTCTGGTTTAACGTTGATTTCCAAGACCAAAAGGTTTGTTTCTGCAAAAAGAGATACCATGATAGAGCTAGAGGATGTATCAAGCACTGACAAAGATGGTTTAATCGCTAAAGAAGTACTAAGAATTTTCTCTTTTTCTTTTGAATAGTTGGCATTGCTCTCTACGTCATGTGTTTCGGATTCAGTTTTTTCAGATGATGTGATAGTGGTAAATTGTACTGTTGGACTATGCCTTTCTGTAGAGAAGGCGCTTCCAGTTGTGTCAAATTCGTTAATACTTCCAGAGAAAGCTACAGAAACGCTTAATGGTAAGATATCAACGCGACTTATCCCTCTTTCTTGCTTCACTTCTGCACTGTTTGTTGCTGAATAATTATACCCACTAGACGTAATTGATCTCAGTTCCTGTTCGATTATGCTTGTAACTGGCAATACAGTAGATGACAATTTCTCGGTTTCCGAAGAAAACATGTCCAAGGAATGCAAAGTTGTTTCCTCATTAAATTTGCGTGTTCTCGACAAAGTCAATGGGAAATAAACATGACCTGGTGTAAAAGTGGTTTCAAATTCTAATGAACTCAATAGAGATGAAACAATTAGTTGAGATATTGCAGGATTGTAGTTTGATGATGTTGTAAAATATTTTACGTCAGCGACATCATTTTCATCTATCAGAGATGAAAATGTTGTGTGTTTGGACAACGAAGAATCAATTCTATTCGAAGATATATTATGTTCATAAGTTTCATGAAACACTGAAACATTGGTCATAGTGAAGATCTGGGAAGACTCTGCAATAGATGCACTGTTAATGTGTGAGTCCGACTCAGATGTAAATTGAGATCGTACAAAACTATTGATTTCAAATATATGTTTATCAATGTCAATTGCTGATGTAACAATGATATTAGAGTCGTGAAGTGATTGCCTTGTACGGGAAGACGAGTAAAATTGTTCTCCCATGGAAGTAGATAATCTGTGTGTGAATGACGAATGAAGAGATGGACGAGGACTTTCAGAATCAACAGCAGAGTTTTCTAAAATTGAAGATGAATCCATGTTAATTAAATTTTCTTTCGCCATAGATGCTTTTGCCATAGTGAGGTTTTGAAAATCCTCTGTTATATAATGGACATCTGACGATATCTGAAACATATCTGAAATCAATGCAGAATTTGAGGTGGTCGTCTCAAGTCTAAATATGGATGATTGCAACGTAGTAGGAAATTCTAATCCTCCTTTAGATGAATTGCTAGTGCTAGTATCTTGAAGGGTTTGTTTTGATACCATTTCTTTTGATATGTGTGATGTGGGGGTTTGGAAAACACTCCAATGATCTATAAATGTCGACTGCACATCATTCAACATTGGTGAACTGTACGAAGTGTCTAAATTATTTGGCATTTGCACTATTTCTGTTGATGATAAAGAACTGTCAAAAATCCCTACATTTGAGCTGACTGACAAAATTGTCAAAGCTATTGAGATTTCTGTTTGAGACATTGACGAGTATTCATATTGATTCTCCATCGAAGAATATAATATACCTGACGACTCGCTTGTTTGCACAACATTTTTCTTCTCGTTGTCAGAAGTTAAAGTTTTCCTATCCCCTTGCATCAGTATTGTACTGAATACAGTGGATACATAGTCCATACTGTTTGAGGCTGAACTAGGTGTTGGTGTTTTATAAGTGAGGATTTTGTTGTTTGATTTATCATTTGTTTCTACCTGTACTACCACATTATTGGAGTTGAATTTGGGTGGCTGGGTAGTATTAACATCGTAGGCTGTTGATGGAGTTGGGCGAATTAAAGATGAAATGGCATCTTCTAAACGGAACTGAGTTGAAGTAAAAAAGTTAGAAGTGCCTACATTTTGGTTAGACAAAAATGTATGATACTCGCTTTTTGATTGATTTTCCTTGTCACTATCCAGCGACTTATGCTGAGATGTGTTAAAGTTATCAAAGCTTACATTACTTTCAAACCAAGCTGTGTGTATTCCGCTCTGTGCTGATCTCACCGTTTGCGTTTGATTAGTTAGTGATGAGAAAGCGTGAGAGATAAAGGACTTTATCTGATTTTGAGTTTGTTTACTAACGGCAGCAAGGGCTTTCACTCTTGTTTGAGATGTTGAAGGTATCAAAGCTCTATCTATTTTATCATTCACTGTCGACAAAGGTTCAGTATTGGTGGTCCAGAACGTCGAACCACCTTGTACCAAGGTATAAGATGATTGCAGTTCTGGTTGTGAAGAAGAATCCTGAGACGGAAATAAACTTAAATACGATGTCTCGTGTTGTGATGTAGATGCAATTTCTTGTAAGACTAGTTTGTCACTCAATGAATGAAAAATCTCAAAAGTGGGTTCAGATGATGGAACAATTGCCTCTATTGATTCCTGATCACTGCCAGTAGCTATTGAATTTGAGTCATTTAGCAGTTGATTTGAGGATATTGTTGCGTTATTTTCTTCTATGTACGTTGTATGTAAATCCATAGAGAGTTTTAATGAATCATTTTCATGTTCGTAAACACTATCTGTATTAAAAGTGGACGCTATCTGGTGATCTGAATCAGTATATTTTAAAGAAGGTATGGAGATGAAGTCATGCACATCAATGTTCTCTGCCTCACTCCCACTTAGTCCATGAGTTGTTTGTGTGTATGCAAACTTTCTGATTTTTCTGGCAGACGTTTTTGTTTGTGACTGGGCTTCAATCCTGTCTTGAATTTCTTTCATTTTTGAATGTTCTTGACTATAAGGCTTTAATCCGTAATAAAAAGTTGTTCTAGGTAAAGTAAATTTTTCTTTGCTAGGATGAATTGAGATAGGATAAGATTCATATTTAAATGATCTTTCTATGGAAGAAAATTTCGGTAGCCCCGTTGAATACGGGGTAGTGGAAGATCGATAAGACTTAAAAGGATTTGAACTGTTAAGATCATTTTCATATGTGTAGTATGGAAGATCTGTCATGAAAACTTTGGATGATGATCTTTTTTCTTGGAAAGAATTATGATTACTCTGATTCGTTTTTAGAGACTTTGTTACCAAGGATACTTTAATATTGTCAATATTTTCTGTGAAGTTTGTTTTAGGTATAGAAAATACACTGCTATTTCTTTCTAGAAAATTCGTTTCAATTGAAGGTTTAAAAGAAATCGATTCACTTGTTTCCAAATATTCGGAGGTCACAACAGGAGATTTTGATTTTTTCTGTTCTGTAAAGTCCACAAGTTTTTCCTTTTTCAGAATTCCAAAATATGATGCCTTTGCTTCAGAAGCAGAGGTAAAATCAGAGAGAATTTCTGAGTTCATGTCAAAAGAAGGTTCAATGACATGAGAGACAGAGTTGAGAGACGATGTGTCGAAATCAAATTGTTTCTGTGTGATAATTGACGAAGTCAGAACAGCTTTTTCATCTTTGGGTGTCGTCAATGTTTTTTCTTTCGAAGTTTTGGGGTCATCTTTTATTTCTTGCACCTCATCATAAGATTGGCTTTGAATGTCATAGGGAACATTAGACATTAATATAGATGACGCATGCTCTGTAACTCCTGGAGAAAATTCTGTTTCCATCACTTGTGTCCTGGACGGAGAAATAAAGTTATGTGATGTTGAAGTAGTTATAGATATAAGCGTCTCATGTGATAATTCCGAATCAGAATACAATTCGGAAAGCAGGTTTACTGTCTGAGCCTCATTGTGAATCATTTTTTTGGATGATGTCGGACTCGTTTGAATCAATGATGACGGTGATGGTATTGAAGAGGAAGGATTTTGCGTCATCAAAAAGACTGAACTTGATGCTGTTGTCTTGGTGTTTTCGGATATGATTTCATAAACTGATGAGATACTGGAGAAATTAAGACTCCACAATGACAACTCTAGACTATGGACTTGCTCTGACGTGTCTTCTTTCATAATTGATGAAGTAAGAATCGGTAATGTTAATGATTCAGTTTTGAGGGGTTGGGGTGAGGCATTGTGCATATTCACCATCCATGCCTCTGCTGTTATTTTAGTCTTTGTTTCGGTTTCACTATGTTGAAATTTGGAAGTAGGAAATCCTGATGAAGATTTATCAGGAGGCGTCATATGATTTTGTTCAGTGGATATTAATTTCAACAAATATTCTCCATATATAGTCTGCGTTGTTGTACTGATTGTATTTGATTTCAAATACGCATACCGTGAAAGTTTATCGGCTGTTTGTAGCTTTTGAAATGCTATAGAATTTTGAGGGACTAACTTTGAAATGGTTTGTTCAGTAATTTCTGAGGTTGCACTGATTGTAGGTGATACTTGTTCTCTATACTGTGACTGTATATCCGTTGACTCTAGACTTGGAGTAGTATCCACGATTCTTTTGGATATCAACTTTAAATTGACTTCACTTATCTCATCCGTACTTTCTAATATTTTCCTCGTAGCATGTGTAATTTGTTCTTTATAAATAGGTGCGTACGTTGTCCATAGTCCAACACTGGAGTCCTGTTTTTGAAGGATGGTACTGGAATTGATTGCATCTTTGTCATATGTAGAAATTATGCTTAAAGTGGGTGATATTAAATCCTTGTATTTTGAGGATATATCCTTTGTCAACTCCGTAGGATTGGATTCTATTATATGAGGAATTAAAGTAGTTCTGCCTTTGTCGTAAATGATTTCTGAAGTTAAGCTGAGTGTCGGTGATAGGGGTACTTTGTAAGGTTCTTTATACGGTGATAGCGTTTCTTTTATGCTCGGTGTGCTGCCCGATGTTTGCCGCGTGTCATTGAGGATAAGGAATGGCAGTGATGATTCCAACAACTCTGCAACAAACAAAAATAATTTTACCTGATAACTTTGTTTTCTTTTTGACATTTTGTTAAAACATATGTAATGCATGATATATTTTAAGAGAGATAAAACAAATGCATATGTAATTTTCATGTTTTATAGTCATGCTAAGAGATTTGCGTAATGTTATAAGTTTGTCTTCAATAAAAGTTTTAAACAAGTCCAAACCTTTGTCAGAATCTTAGCATATAAATAGTTTACATGTTTAATGGTAAGACTGCAATTAGAATACATATTAATTTATCGATCATGTAATGTTTCAGGAAATAATTAACCCCCGTTTCAAAAGGATATGTTAGTATGAACCATTGTAAGCTCAGACATTTAAGTTATACAATTAATTTCACTTAAATAAAAGTAAGACGTATTATATAATATTTGGGGATCTGCAGTATTTTTTGCTGAAAGATTTACTCTAATTGCTCGGCGTTAATTGATCGTATAGCCGGAGATTTCAGACTGCTTTGAATAATGACTTCTCAGTAATTGACATGCAGCATTTGACACATTTCATTCGACATGTGAACACGATGTCGAAATTTTAATTTGACATGATACCTAATTAATAATACTCGAGCACGAGTGATTCACAGACATGTTGTCTAAAGAGCATCTGCTCAATTGAAGACCAAATTCTGTACGTCTGTGTCCTGGATATTCTGAGTCAGAGTTCTACTGATTTTTTGTTCTCCTGGAAATCGTTAAAAAGCTTGAAAAAATTGTTTTTTATCATATCAATCTGTAAAAATCACAAGCACCATTTGTTGCATAAGAAATTAATGGTTCTCATGCCTATTTTACATGAATTTTAACTCGGATAAGCCGCTGCCAGATCTCAGCGTGACTTTGCTTCTATAACGACGTATAGTTTTCCCTGTATAGATGATTAGAAACTGACATAGTCTAAGTTTCTCGTAAGACCCCACGTACTTGACACAAGAGCACCACTTTACTTTCGATCTTACTTCACACAATTGTCATTCAGCTCAGTGTGTGTTCATTCAATTAAAGAACTCAAATTTGAGCAACTGGAGTTTCAAAGAAATACTCGTATGTGAATCGACGATTTTCTCTATTTAATAACAATATACACTGAAAACATAGGTTAATATTGCCAATTATATATCTGTGTATAAGTACAGTATATAATGAGAATTGATGTACATATATTCCTACTTAGTCTAGAATATATTCAACATGTTCAAATATAGCTAAATCTGATATCGAATAATAGTTTTAGAGGACTATTTTACGCATCAGAATACACGTTATCTTAGATTTTTAAGATTGAAGATGGTGTCCTTAAAAGTGTGAATTTTATGACCTAAAAAGAAAGAAACACCCTCATCAATTTGTAGGCCTGATAACCTCACAGTTTAAGTGTTGTTTTTATTAAAGCAGCTTGTTTTATTGTTGATGAATTAAAAAAAAACTCGGTTGCAAGTCTTTTAAGTCTCGGTTGGAATTCATCGTGATAGACGGAGGTAGATAACATGGTTTCTGAAACACGTCAATCTAGTTTCGGCGTGCAGTAAATGAAGAAAATATTACAGCTCATTACCGAGGTATGCAAACAATGTGTGAATATGAAATTCAAAAATCAAATTAAAACGAGAAATCTTTCTCAGTCATGATGAAATTTTAAATATAGACATGTTTTCCAAAAGCAGGGTGTATCAAAGTGTATTTGTGAATAGTCTTTTTCCGCAAACATACTAACAGATGGGAATATTACATGATTCCCTGGATGTTGTGATGAAGTATGTGTATAGTCAGACAAATAAAGAGAAACAAAAGAGATCGTGACACTGTAGTATAGTATATCATAATAAATAAGTATGCCACAAGAAGGAAGTTTTAGAATGCAGCTGCACAAGATAACCTTTGATCAACAACATTTTTATCCTCTTTATCTGTTTAAACATAGAACAAATTCCAATTCAAAGTGAGGTTACTTTTCAATAAAATGGCAGTCAAAGTCTTCGTTATTTACACCTGTTAGCATTTTTTTTAGTTACAAAGATATTTCTGAGGTTTACAAGTAACAAGGCTTTACATATTATTCATCTTATTCAATATTTTCTGTAAATCTGAAATAATACCAAGTCCGATTTTTATATCTTAAATCTACACGGTCATTTAGGTAGCACTTGCAGAAATATTACATTTAAAGGATAAAAAAGGAAAGCAACCAAAAAAAAAAAAATCAGAAAGTAAACGCAGACCCAAACAATTGAGATAAGTCACAGTTCGGAAGGACAAAGACATTGTGCGCCAGGTCTGAAATTGGAGAATTGAGATTCCAGATCGTGTTCTGTAGCTGCACCAAGACCGCAAATCTCAGCAAGATAAGTACATTTATAAACAAGCTGCGATAAAACTGTTGTTTTATGGGATTCCGTTATTTTATTCTCTCACTGAAATTCATTCTTTTTTTAAAATAATAATGCATTGCTTATTTTTTTTAAATGAGTTTTCTTAGAAGGGAAAGGTTTTAAAACGTGTGGAATTGAAAAAGAAAATATTATAATTTTCTTTTTTGCATTTGATTTCATTTTTTATATATAATTTTTAGGATATCGAAATAAAAGAAACCAAGTTCAATGGTTTAAGTTTTTTTTTTCAATTTGGAAGAGGCCCAGTGTCGTATAGAATTTGCTCTACATCACCAGAGATAATATTACTGTCTGTCCTTTAATGGTTTAGGATAAAAACATCTGTGTGTAGCCTGATAAGACAGCATTCTAAGTATTCTCACAAAAGCTCTTGACAATTGCACCGGAAACAAATACTGAAGCAAATCGAGCCGAGGACGAGCAGGAACTTTTTTGAAAAACGTATTTCATTTTCCCTGAATAACAGTCTATTTTGATTTTAAGTTCCTTGAAAAATGTAAACATCGATAAAGTTGATATAAATATATATTTATAATCTCTAATTGTCAAAATTATATAAATAAATCTGAAAAACTACAGGCATAGCTTGAAATAAAACAAAAAGTGAATTGAAAGTGAGCAAATTTCATGCATCAAGAAAGTTTGAAAATGTGTATAGGTACCTTCAAGGCATCGACAGCAGCTGAGAAATAAAACAATGATAACTGGAATAGTCCAACTGCATCTACCCATAATCCTAATGATATAGTACTATCCTTGCATCAGAAAACGTTAAATTCATTTTAGTTTTGTGAAGTATGACACACTCTGCACGTCGTTATGTCCTTTTCAAATAAAAAGTAAATAAAGGCGTTCTTCTCATGTTGACAGCTTTACAGTTTCTCTGCTTACACTTATATATTCCCAGGCATCTTAAGTTGTTAGTACCTGTTTTGATTTTCGCTTAAAAACATTACTTATGTCAGCGAGAAAAACAGCAGCTTGGAACCAGCCGCAATGAAATGCTTCCTGATTTAAAACGACTTTCCAATCGCCTTTTCAAAGAGTCGTGCATGTGCGGCTTTAATTGATCGTTAGTCTTTATCTCCATCAATCTCCTATTGCGTAACACTTCTTCATTTCAGCCACCAAATGCACGTGTTTAAGGTGTTTACATTCCAAAATAAGGCTTAAGCTCTAAAATATAGTTATATTGTGGTTTTACGGCACTCATATTCAAAGTTAATGCTTTCCGATTACTCTCCTCATTAAATTCTGCAAGTCACGTGGTATAAGTCACGTTTTTGATGAGTTTAGTGCAGTACCACCAACAGCTTGGGTCATGACTTTCGACATGAAAATTTATTAAACAACTGGGCCATCCCCAGTAGTATGTAATACACGGAACTGTTAAAAAAATTCCGATCCGGAAGCTGGTTATGACATTTTATCTTTTAGATTAAGTGGTATATGTATAAGCACTAATATTTGTACATGTATTACGATATTTTAAGCCTAATTAAGCAAACTATTTGTGACATTTTAATCGTATTTTTTTAAAACTCTTTTGATTGTTTATTCTCTTTGTATGTCGAAGATTTTTTTTTTGATGAAAGGTGTAATTTTGTTATTTATACATGTAATTGCAACTTTGTTCTTTGTATCAATTATATTTCAATTAAAATTACCTTTCTTATTCCTAAAAAAAATTATGTTATATATGATGAACTTTATGGAGATATCGAACAGTATTCAAGCTGTAAAAGTAAGTAAGCAATACAAATTTGGAGCAGAGAAAACACGGACCTCCAAAACATCAGATGATGAATCAGGAGGACTGAGCACCCCCTGCCTATGGATCACACCCGCCGTGTGTTCCTTGTTCTGAACGAAAAATAAAAATCTGTCGACAATTTAGTGTGTAAATAATGGCCTTACAATTAGTATGAAAAACGTCTTTGATCAATTGACTTAATGATAAATAATATTTGATGGTAAGGTCAATGTATCGACCATGGAACTTACGAAATGATGACTTTAAAGAAACTGTTGATTTTTTTTGTTTTCATCAATTTGTCTGTCAATAACTTACTTCGTTTTAGAAATAGTACATACGTAGAGCACGCTCTTGCATATCGAATCAACTGAGAGATATAAAACCCGTATGCAGGTGATGAAGGTACAATTGGGTACAGGGTATAAGGTATGTTGCTGCATAAGGGAATTTCGAAGTTGCCGATTGAAAAGTAAAAGTCATCACATTTATCATAAAGCTTGGTTGTTAAACTACCATTTTTGTCTTTTTCAAGTAAAATATCCAAATACGTGTATTAAACAGATGTGCCAGACTCCGTGGTACCTTTTATTTCAAGTTCAGAGGAATATATCGAGTCGACATAAGAAAGATAAGAATAGATTTACTTCAATAAATGACATTTTTCCACTTCAATAATGTTGTTTGTTTTTGCCTGCTTTAACCAAAAAACAGTTGTCTGGCAGGAGAACTAAGGAACATAAATGATAATTCTTGTAGGTCACATACATGTGCAACATACCAATTAGAGCGTTGCCCTATAAATGTAAATGATCAAAAGAACAGTAATTTATATTTATTAAAAATTCTGTCAATAACGGATAGGCATAAGGGCTGATCACCTCTTTGTCTGTCTGTCTGTCTGCATGTTCTATTCGTTTCTGTTATAACATTTTTTTAAAAATGCTCTTCCTCCTGTTATTTACATTTGGTTTTTAAAAAAACCTTGACTATAATAGGATTTAAAATTCCTACCCCCATCCCTGATTTCCAGATATAGCATGAATTTATTCTTGAAAAGGAATTATCTGATAAGTCATTTCCCAATTACTCCATCTATGTTCATTAAAAGCACTAGAAAGTACATTTTAGTACAATCCTCAATAAGTAAGGGTTTATCTGATTTTTGACTCCTAGTTTAGATGTCTGATTGTGTTATTATTGTTTCTGAAAAAAAGAATATTTTGGGGATTTTTGGAAAGCAACCCCTCCCCTGATTTTGTATGTCTTACATTCTTCCTAAACCAATTTTTTTTTCACATTCCTTTACTCTTTATTCAAAATTACTAGTTTTTAATATTCTTAAAATAAGAAACGTTACAAATTTGTCACTGTATCTTAGTTTAATGTGTAATGTAAACAACATCAAGGTACTTTTTTAAAACAACTTTTTTATTTCTATGGCTGGTTTAATGTTGTTATAACATGTATCTTTCTGTTTTCTGGAAGCGATAAAGAAATTAAAAGACTGCATAAACAGTTTGATATTGTTCTAGTTGATAAATCTAGATATTACAACTGATATTTCTTTGTTTGCAAGGGAAGTAATCCAACCTATACTGTTGACATAATTTATTGCCGTGTTGTGGAACAGAAGTTTCACTTATATCACTTGAAAAGTTTACATTTTTATGTATTATTCAAATGTTATACTCTTTTATATAAGGAAGTAAGTGGAAAAATCTTGTTTCCAATCTTTTTGCGATTTGTTGACAAAAACGTCACATTGCGATTCGTGTATCAGCAATGAATTCTATTTTTAATTTTATTTTTTCACCTGACAGTTTCTGGTCGTACCGACAAAGTGAATACAGTTGTAGCAACTGCTAATGCTTAAAAGCCGCTTAGTGAAGGAATTTTAAATATCATTAAGAGGTAGAGAATGCCAGCTTATAATGTTAGTATTTAATAGATTAAGCGTTGTATTGCAATACTTAATTATATTTCTATCATTATACAGCGTTTTATTATTAGCGGTTGCTATATACCGCACCTTTTGATTATTCAGTAAGTTACAAATATCCTTAATAAAAATGTCTAAAACAGTAAGCTTTTAATGAAAAATAAACAGTAAGTTTTTAATGAAAAATACCTTTTTTTCCTTTTTTTACAGAAAAAAATATTGTAATTTATTATATCTTCCTGTTTGTGTCGAATTAGCACTGGTTCAAACAAATTACGAATTTACATTGTTTGATCTAATTTTTAATATTATGTCACGTCCTTGAAAATATTATACATCACGTTTAATGCGATTAAAATCGTAGTTCCATATATTGATCTAAAAAAGAGATTAAATTTTTGGGCCAAAATCAATTTTCATTATAAATCATGTACTTGCAAAAATATTCTGCCATTAAATTAAAGCTGATTTATTTTTAAATGATATCTGTTTAAATCTTTCCTTATTGGACGTACTTAATTGGTGTCAGCAAATATTTAAGTAACTGTTGCTATGACGTTGCGCACGGTGTTGGTGTCGGTTTCGGTAACGTCAAAATGACGTTATTTTACGTGAAGTTTTAGAAAATTTATTTGACGTTACTTTTTTGCTAACATTTTTTATGGAGGAAAAATAAAAACCCAGCAATGCCGCCAATCATATAATGCAGGTAATTGAAAAGGCGTGTCATTAAATTGTCTGCACCCTTTTGCATGCATATTGCAGGAGGAAAATATGAGCATGGGTTGCCTCATTAAAAGAAAAACTTGGTAGAAATAACGAAACTTGTTCAACATCGCATTTTGAATTCACATGCTTTCAGTTTTTATTTTACTGAGATAAATTCCATATCAGTAGGCCCTAGAACCTGTCCTTTGTTTTCAGTAAATTGTACGATTGTAGATATTTTGCTGATTTAGCATTGAATTTTTTTTTTCGTTCAAAGTCCCATCCCATCTTGTAACGAAAATCTGATATATTTGTACTCACCTCCGACAACACCTAACCCTTATTCAATATTGGACTATTCAATGTAAACGCGCAATGTATAGAACATTTTATAACAGCATAAAATAGAGTTGACACACTTTACTGTGAGTTAATTCAAATTTGAAATCATATCCTTGAAATTTTGGTTTTTGTGATTTTTTTCTAGTGTCTTAATTTGAACTCTGAATGGTACTTTTGTACAGATTCTGACAGGGATATATACCGATACAGTGTACAAGTATACACTGCACATGTTTTACTTTTATATATAAATGCAACTTTTAAAACTTAAAATTATTTTTCTAATTAATCATTATTGGTATGTTTTTCTTTTATCCATATCAGGTTCATCAGCAATTGAGAGTAAGTTTTGGATAGAGAGATAAATATTTTGACGGTTTACATGACTTTTATGCATTGAACCTAATAAGTAATAACGTCAAGACGCCAAATTTTCACGTCTGTGACATTTATGTTGACATTTAAATTTTGTTAGGATTTTGTCACCATTCTACTGAAATTATTTTGGAATATACCAATGACTTTTTTAAAAGATGCACATTTCATAAAAATCCTTTAATTTTCAATATGTCTATTTTCAATGACTACACATATGATCAATGTTACCACATTTATACAATTATAGTAAGATTGATTACTTTTGGACAATGTGTGCCATTAATGTTGACATTGTAAAAAGCCTATGAAACAAAGACTTCTTTAAAGAATCAGTTCATTTTCATACCTAAATAAAGTTTTGATTTTGCACATTTTGTACTAAATGTTGTTTGGTGCCAAATTAGAAAAATAAATTACTAAAATGTAGGTCATTTCTGAGGTGTAGCATTTAAACGTGACGTTTTTGCCGTCAAATTCAATTGTGACGTATAGCTACATGTTGTACATATATGTAAGACGGCAATTGTTATTAAAATTTAAGGCACCGCAAGTTAAAATTCTGTCCAGAGAACTTTTCCTTAATAACATGGCAACATTTTGTAGAATTTAAAATAATTTCCAACATCAATTTTTCATCCAGCATTACAAAATTTGTCATTTTACGAATCTTAAAAACTTTGCGACATTGAACCTCTAAACTTTGTGACACGCCATCTTAGTCAATGTCCTCACAATAAATCGGCTTAATATCAGAAACCCAACATACATATCGACACAAAATATCAGTCTAATATAAAATACAGTTCCTTGCACACAAAAAGGATCATTGACATGCCATTTCAAAATTGATTTTGCCCATGAAATTACTTTTTTAAGTTACCGATGACATTTCTCATGTTCCTTCAAAATTTCTTCGGATAACACTTATCTACATCGCTGTCTTGCATTTTGAACAACGCGTTCACAGCATTCGGATTGAACAAAATCACAACTGTAAAACTTAAAATCAGTTACATCATATTTTAAACTTTTCTGCTAAATTTTATGTTTGTATTGTTTGTTTTATGGAAATTATCAACATTTTGTTATTGCGTGTGCGACGCTCCTGTCACCTGTCTACATGCGTTTTTGACGTAATTAATTGAATAGTCGAATTAATATATTTGATAATTGGAATTTTTTGATCAATATTTTTGTTAAAATGTATTTAGTATACAATTACCGACCGAATGATATATAGTTTTCATACATGTATAGTGAATTGTTTTAAAATCATGGAAATAGCGCATATGCCGCCGTAATAGTAATTATTGACTTTTTGACACCAACACCGTGCGCGACGTCTGTGCGTATTTAAATTCTTAAAAAAAAAAGTTCAAGCAATTCTCGTTAACTTAATCAAAGTAAAGCAAAATGTTATCCTCATAAAATTGACAGCTTTTTTAAAAATGAAAAAATAAGACTACTCGATCATTTCTACTGAATATTCTGCTTTACCATCATTATAGCTGGTTTATTTTTACTCAAGAAGCTTCAACCCCATTCATCCCCAATGCCCTGTTAGTACCTATTGCAGTCTCGCTCGGTATTATCTCTCATCCATCATAGAAGCACCTCTAGACTCCCACTACTGTTGATACGACTCCGAACTGATGTCCACTTTAATAAGGAGACCTTCTCCTGCCTCGAGCTGCCAATCACGGGAATTCCTGAACGTCAATCAAGTTTGTCCGTCATTTGATAAAAACACACAAGACATCACGCGAGTTATGCTAAAAAGTATTCGGTGTTCACGCTATTGGTCACTTTTCATGGTTCCTTATAGGACTACAAACATTTTTTTTGTTTATTGAAAGTGTTTGTAGGTATAAAACTACAAACATAATCTTTTTTCCTTATCAATTCTGGAACCATGCGGCCTGTAGTGTGTGCACTTCTCTGCTGGCTATGGACGGGATGTTTAGTAGGTAAGCGTGCAATTAAAAATACCGGCCTTTAATACTAAGTGCGGCATCGTTAAGGATAATTTTAATTTTAAAAAATGCTATAATACTTTCTTGGCTTAAGTAAAATACAATTTTAAAAAGTTTTCTTAAATTTACATCAAATTGCAATTAAGGCTAGAATTATTATTTGAGTGAAATTGAATTCTATGTCCCCATTCAGAAACAAGGTACAGAATCATACAGTTTCTGATAAATACTTAGTAAAGAAATACATTTCTTAGGAATCCTCTGCATTAATAAGATTACCTATCTACAATACTGACTTCTGAAACACCATTCTACCCTAATACTTTAACCCGTATCAGATAAAACGTACATTTTATTTTCTGTTATCAATTTTTTAAATACAATTACTCTTATTATTTTGCTTGTTTTTGCAAAAATCATTGATTAAATTAATATGATTATATACTTTTTCAGATTCTTTTTTTATTCCTAGTAAAAGGATTGTTAATACAAGAGGCAAAGAAGGCCAGAGAGGTCTCCATGATATTCTAGGACAAATGAACGAACTGATGGACTTTGCAATTTCAGTAACCAAACCAAAGTCAAGGAAATCAATAGCAGAAAATGTTGAACATACAAAAACAGGAATTGTTTGCCCATCGTACAAGTGTTCTGATACAATAGAACCCGGGTGTCGTAGATCTGTGTACTACGTCATCAAAGGGCAAAGATGCATGGGATGTGACGTGGACGTTTGTAAAGTAAAGAAGAGGCGGGAAAGCGCACGAATGCCTCTTCATCGGTCAAATATAAACACAGATGGAGCCATCGAAGAAAGAATCTCTGTGAATCCGTTCAATTTTGAAAAGAGATGGCTTTTTAGCAGAAACAGGAAGGGTCCAGAACAATTGGCCCATTCTAATTCTTTTCAACAAATGTTATCAGTTTCTGATGTTGATCGTCTGCCTCCAGGCTCGGAAAACAGCTGGATAACGGGCTCACTGTTTTGATTCACCTACAGAATATATATAGTGATCGTGATAATTCCAAATGTTCTTTTGGTTATATGAAGTTTATCTGTATTTTTTCTACGGCATCAAATGCCTTTTCTTTGTATGATTGGACAGGAAATATGATTGTAATAAATGTAATGTGATATGATTTATTTGTTGATATCCTTTTGTAAAGACAGTAATCATAAAGGACACGTGTACATGACCAAGCACTGACACTGTCAAATTTTGTCGTGACTTTCCAAGTGTTTCACTTTAATCGTGACGAAAATCATAAAATGCAATGCAATTCTGTGTTATAGATGTCAGCACTACAGGTCTTACCTGCAAGATGAATTCTAAAGATTAAAAACCTTATAAGGAATAAACAATGTCTTGATATTTTTTAGTAAAATATCAACATAAAAATATTATTGATGACAAACTTTTAAGAATAAAAAAAAAAAAACATTATTATGTTCCCCAAACGAAGTTGGGGAACATATTGTTTTTACTCTGTTTCTTATTATTATTATTCTTATTATTTTTCTTCTTCCTGGGAAAATTTTGTCCACGAGTGATCTTGTAAACTACACATCCGACTTAGGTGAAACCTTTTTAGGGTCAGTAGGCAAGTTATGTAGAGTTGCCAAACAAAGGTCATTTTGCGCGCACGTGCTTGCAAGAGCGCGCACGTGCAACAGGTGAAATTACCAATATAATGGATATTGCCGTAACTTTTCTATTTTTTGATGAAATTTTTTGAAACTCATAATGTAAGGATACATTAGTAGTATAGACAAGATAGCATGGTCAAAATAGCAAGATCTCACGCGCATGCACGTGCGCTTCGCTCTGATTGGCTGAAACTAAAGTCTCAATAACTTTCTTGTTTCTTGTCATAATCCTTTGAAATTTTGAACATAGTCCTACATTATGAAAATCTACCGCATGATAAATAAGAATTTTCATGAAAGCATGCGCATGTGCGCGTGCTGCAAGCTGATTGGCTGACACTTTAAATGGCAATATCTCCTTTGTTTTTTGACGAAATTCTTTGAAATTTAAAATATAGTCATGCATTAGTATATCCTACAAAATGATGTAGAAAAAAAATCATGAAATCACGTGCATGCACGTGTGCTGCAATCTGATTGGCTGAAACTTTAAATGGCTATTTCTCCTTTGTTTTTTGACGAAATTCTTTGAAATTTAAAATATAGTCATGCATTAGGATATCCTACAAAATGATATAGAAAAAAAATCATGAAATCACGCGCATGTACGTGTGCTGCAATCTGATTGGCTGAAACTTTGAATGGCTATTTCTCCTTTGTTTTTTGACGAAATTCTTTGAAATTTAAAAAATAGTCATGCATTAGGATATCTTACAAAATGATATATAAAAAAATCATGAAATTACGCGCATGCACGTGTGCTGCAATCTGATTGGCTGAAAATTTAAATGGCTATAACTCCCTTGTTTTTCAACCAAACAGGATGGGATTTAGAACATAGATAGATGTAAGGGACTCCTACAAGAAGGTATGATCATCATGCACGTGCACGCACGTGCGTGCATTTGAAACGAGTATATTTAAAAATACTCTTGAATGAGTTATTTTTATTACTTTTGGACTGAATGCATTAATATATAGTATATTAAAATATATAAATAGTGTAGACAAGATGATATGGTCATAACGCACATGCATTCACATGCGCTTGGGTGCAATGCTAAAAATTGAATATAATTGGTATCCTTCTGGGAAACCGTTGTTAAAGTCAAAAATGCAAGAGTTTGTCTTACTTAATGAAGCTTACAGGTAATATGGCACCGAAAGGGAGTTGGGGAGCGTTTGGGGAACATCTGTAACGGTTCCCGTTACAATTAGCACTAGTGTTTATTGACGTAAAATATTGTATAAAATAGGTAAAATGTTCTTAAGGTATGTCACTCCTCAGCATTTTAGAAAAGTTCACGCATAACCTCTTACTTCAAAACTATTTATTATAAAATAATCAATTTTTATAACGTATTAAAATTCAAAAATGAAAATTATTCAACATTCAATGAAAAAACTGCTTAAAAATCTACAAAGAAGCAAGATTTATTGTTGTGCAAGGATATTTAGCAGAAAATTCTGCAAATCTGTACATTCGTTAAATTTAATATATTGGAACTTTAGCCTCACATACTTTTACTCGGGGAATATGTTCCGTAATGATATGTACTAATATTTATTAAAGGTCTCAATTTATATTTTTAGAACAAATTTTACACCTTCCCTCAACAAACTTTGCCGAGAAATGAAGTTCAGATAAAATTTACACCGTTCTGTGCCTGAAAATCACATACAGTCAAACTTGTCTTAGCGGCCACCCGAAATCAACGGCCACTCGCGATCAGCGGCCACTTTCCGTTCCCCCCGACGAATTTTACTATATATTTTAACTGGAATAAACGGCCACCTGTGTAACGCGGCCAGCGGCCACTCAAATTCCCTACCCACAGCCCTATTGACACTGTAATAGGCGGCCATTTCGTCACTTGCTGTGATTCTATTATGTCCTTTAAACTCATTCGCTTGGGTAATTATATCCCGATAGCCAATTTAACTTAGCTATTAATGCAATTAAACAAATAACTATTAGATACACTAAACTCTGTTTGCATTTATGAAAAAACCTGTTAGATCAATTTTTAATTATTTTTCAAGATCGCCGATGGAAAAATAAAAATAATTTAAATACAATTGATACTTTCCTCTACCTAAAGAAATTCACACCTTTTGAATTTTGATTCCATGTAGAAGCCCTAATTGCTACCCTTGTGAAAACAAAGGTGCTTCATGTGGCATGATTATCTCGTGAATTTCACTATCAACAGACAACCGATAGGGATTAGTCACGCTCTACTGCATATGACACCTGTGTTATGGTATGATTTTCAACTGCGTCAATACATCTCTCTGGTCAACTGGGTAATTTTATTTCTGTATCTTATGTAACATAGATATTCTGATAGCTTTATAAACAATAAAATTTACCAAACTTTAAAACTTCAGCAAGTTAGTTAATTGCCAATGAATTAATGGGGGGGGGGGGGTGTTACACTGCTGACGATTTTTGAAATTTTTATTGACATATTCTTACTTAAATTTCTATGCTTTATTTTTTTTGCCATTAAACTATATTTTTGTGTATTTTTTTTTCTTTATAAAAAAAGCATAATTATAGCCAGGCACTGTATGTATTTCTTGCTTAACTAATATGTAGGGACAGAAACATGCACAAAACCTTAAAAAATTCTAATTCTTAATAGTTTTTTGAATGAGCTTGAATTAATATATATACACATAAAGAGCCTTTGTTAAATTGACCTGTTTTATTATTTCATTAATTTAACTGTAGTGCTTTATGTTGTTTATTCATTGCCCGAATATGTCTTTTTCGAGGGCAAACTGGAACAAGAGGCCACCTGTCTTAAGTGGCCAGTTTCCAGACTTCCCAAAGGTGGCCTCTTAAAACAAGTTTGACTGTATTTTGACCAATATTTCAAAATTAACATCACTGACCCCAACTTTTCTTTCGTTATTTTAAACTAGTCGATACCTTTGACTGATCAGCACTTAAGTCGTAAAAAGTTTGATATATGAAAGTATTTTATTGCCTGTTTAGTTTTTTAATACCCCAAATATGTTACTTTTTAGTGCAAAAAGGTCACATAATAATTTACGCGCATTAATTTGCAAGATTTGTTCAACGATAAATATTCTTTAAACTATTTTTGGGTAAAATATGATTATATGTTTTGCCATTGTTACATCTGATTATATCTGATTAAATATGATAAAGGTTAAAGTAATTTACCAAAGACTTAAAATATAAGTGCAAAAAGGTCAACTTAATTGTACCGTAGCTCAGTAAGATGCACACTGACCCCCTATTTTCTCTGCGATTTTGAGTCATACTATATGAGTACTTATCCAAAACATACTTCTTAAAAAATCCTTGATTTAACAAACTGCACGAGTGACATAATTTAATGACATATGCAACGTACACGTACACAAACTCTTGCCCTGATTATATTTTAATATTCTCAATTTTAAATCATACAAACATAAGATGTTCTTCACTTAAAATTAGCATACTTTACGAGGAGTTTTGACCTGATATAAAATCCATTTAGTTATTTATTTATTTTTTAGAAAAATTAACAAAAATGTCCTTCAATATTTAGAGCTTTCAAATCACCTAGAAAGAAAGAAAGTTAAGTTCAAAACGACATTGATATGTCCTTAAAAGAAAAACACCTAGTATTGGTGGAGATTTTACTTCCAAAAAAAAAAAATAATAAGAAATGAAATAATCTGACGTCGTATAGAAAACAAAATACTCTCTAGCAGAGAATCGAGAGATTTTAAGAAAAATGAACATGCACTTTACTAGTATATCAGCAGTGTACAATAATTTAATTATAAAGAACATCACCTTGCAGTTAATTTTGGAATTCAATCTACAAAAGAAAAAAAGCTCAGAATAAAAAAAAACTATTGTCAAAATATATTTTTGAAAATCTCGGTCATATATTGTCAATTAATTTCTTTTCGCAGTAGGAATAATTAGTTCTCATAATTTCCTACAATCTTATTATTTTCTCGCTGTAGGAATACATACTTTTAATTTGCTTATAATCTTAGCCCTAATAAGACCTATTTATGCCCTCTTCTGAAAATTGTATTGTTTTGGGTTTCTTAAAGTTCGGTCACTTTTGCTTTCCTCATCTGTTTTAATAAGCATCAAACGAATAATCTGCTTAGTAGCATTCCTAGGAAACAAAAGTTTAGATTGTTATTTACATAGCAAGCTATGGAGAGAAAAAACTGTTGTTCGCTTTAAGAAAATGATATTAATCATTTATCAAAGTGGCATGTTTACAATCTAACTTCAAAGTTAAAGTGCATGAACACTTATCGATTTCGACTTCGGCAATCTGTGTACCATAGGCGTCTCCAGCAAAGTCGCTTCTGTCGACTAGAACATAAATGGTCTGTAATTTAATTTTAATTGCCGCAAGCTCTACTTAGATAATAAGAATGTCCTTAACGACATCGGAAATATTAAATATGTTATTGGTGGTTAAACACGAACTGATCATTTCTTGAATTAAATTGTCGTCTAAGAACATTTCCGTCATTTTTTGAAAGATGCTTGACAATGTTACAGCAGTAATTGACCAGATGAAAAAATTAAGGTACAACAAAGAAATATTCCA